CCCCTAAAGGGTATATTTAGAAATCAGAGGACAATTTAGGAAGAGAGTCACACAACATAAGCCAGAAGAGTAATGAAAAGCAGGAAGAGTGGGAGTTTCTTTCAGGTATTGAGCACTCCGAGACTGCTCCAGTGAATATCCAGATCGACACAACTCTTTTTCACCTCACCAAGTAATAGCAAAGCCCAACACTTACACAGCACTTTTCATTCATCCGTCTCAAATTGCATCACAAGGAGAGTTAAAGCTTCAGATTTAGCATCCCCCTCTGCAACTTGATGCACAGAGCTGAAGTTCAAGGTTGAACAAAGGTAAACACTAGGGACAAATGTAGGCCATGGAGCTGTGTCTGTTTTGGTGGACGGTGAGTTCGGACCTTCCATTCAATCCTTGATGCAGGCCATCAACCTTGCTGCAGACAGGGCAACCCATGGGGTCTGCCTGTTGTTGCCATTTCATTAGGGGCAGCGGTTTCAAAGCAAGTGTTCTACACCAAGAAGCGATTTTCAGCAGCACATCCATTTCAGCCCACGGAATCCCAGTGCTGCTGAGGCTGGCAAGCACCTCTGGAGGTCATCCATCCCAACTCTCGCTCACAGCAGGTTCTGGCACAGCAGGCTGCTCAGGGCTGCATCCTTTTGGGTTTTGAATATCCCCAGGGATGGAGATGCCATGATTTCTCTGGGCAAGTTAACTGGCACAAAAGCACAGCTTTGTGCCAGTGTTTGACCTCTCTCATAGTAAAAACATTTCATCCTGTATTTAAAAGAAATTTCCTGTATTTTGGTTAGTATTGTTTAGGGTCGAGTCTCATCCAAGGGCACCCCTGAGAAAATCCTGGCTACATCTTCTTTACTTTGCCCATCAGGTACCTATCCACGTGGTACCTATCCCCAAGCCTCCTCTTCTCCACACTCCCTCAGCTTCTCCCCATAATGAAGATGCTCCAGTCCCTTCAGTACCTTTGTGGCTCTGCACTGGACCTACAGTATGTCCATGTCTCTCCTGTACTGGGCAGCCCAGCACTCAATGCAGCACTCCAGATACACATCACCAGCGCTGAACAAAGGACCACTTCTTTCAGCCTCCTGGTGACTGATCAAAATCCTTTGAGCCTGGCAGTTTAGCTAGTGCTCAATCTACCTCATCATCCACCTACCTAGCCCCTCCCTCACCAATGAGGATTTTATAGGACACAGCCTTGATAAATCCACAATAAGCAATATCCATTGCACCCCCCTCAGGCAATCAAGAAAGTAATCTCTCTGTTAAAGACCATCTAGTTGATCAAGCATTCCTCCTTCATAAAGCCATGCTGACTAAACCCAAACACCTTCTTCCATGTTAGATAATTAGAAATTCTTTACTGTGAGGGTGGTGAGAACTAGAACAGGTTGCACAGAGAAGATGTGGATGCCCTATCCCTGGAAGTGTTCAAGGCTGGTTGGACCAGGCTTTGAGCAACCTCGTCTAGTGGAAGGTATCCCTGCCCATGGCAGGGGGTCGGAACTAGGTGATCATTAAGGTCCCTTCCCAGACAAACCATTCTATAATTCTAGGATTGTCTTTACTATGTCTGGAAATGGTTTCCAAGCTTACCTGTTCTACCTGCTCTGGGGTCAAGGTGAAATTGATAAGCCCATAGGTCCCAAGATCCTCCCTAACTGCTATTTGTTTTCCTCCCAGTCCTCAGAAACTTTCTCCAATTGTCCTTGCTCTTACAGGTATTCAAGAGTAGCCTCACAATGACACAGTATGCCAGAAAGACAGTTTAGGGAATGCAGTATTCCAGCACAGGTTTCTGCCTTTGACAGAACAATCCACGCAAAGAGTCGGTATTTGTTCCTCGACATTTTTTAAACATCTAAGATCTGCTAGGACTGTATGACAGTTATTAAAAAAAAATCATTGCACCACATGACTTGGATTAGCAGTCACAGGAACAAGAGGAAGTATGAGGGACACCCAGTTATGACACAGAGAATCAGAGCACTGGCAGCAAGGACATCATCTCTCTCCCTTTCAAGCAGGGCTAATCAAACCACCCCATCTCTAGTGCTTTCAATGCAAACACTGCATATCAACATGTAAAATCAGTTGCAAAGACCCTCACTGACCAAGAAATCCTACAGATTAGAAATGCATACCATTTGTTTCCCTTACCCTCTCAGGAGCAGCTGTGCTGTAGTACAAGTGATTTTGTTCACAGCCAAGCCTAAATTGCCCAAGCTGCACCACCACAACTCCGTAAAGTCTGATTTTTTTCTTCCCTCTCTCAACTCCTCTAGCTCAGTAGGTGAGAGGGATTTAAAACAAACAAAAAGAAACCCAAAGCCCAAGGGTACTGAATTTAAACTAGACGCCCACAACTACATTTTCAGTAGCTAAGTTATAAAAGAAGAAAGATAAAAAATAAAATTTCAGAAGTGTGAAGGTTGTCACTGGAATATTTTTATCTAAAGTGAGTCACAAAGACTGAGCAGTAGGATTCTTTTCTTCCTAATAACGCTGCAAAAAAAAAAACCCTTAAGAAACTATCACACTCCAAAACAAGACAATGAGAAAGTTAAAGGCCTAATAAAGACACTGGCTCCTGCAGCATGTCAGAAACAACAGGCTCTTCTTACACAGACACAGAGAGCTATTTTAATAGAGTGAATAAATGCACCTCTCCTAACCCAGAACAGAAACGTTGCAGGGACCAGAGAAGCCTGCAGGCATTTGAAAGTACCAGAAAAGGTCATTATGGCAGCTTTCCTATACAAAGACTGAATCCAAAGTACTAAGAAAGTACATTCTTGATTAGTAGGAAAGGGCATGTGAAGTCTGAACATGGTCTGGAAGAATAGGAAGGGAAGTAGGGGAGAGGAAGGGACAGAGAGACCTTCTACTCACAGACCAAGACTGCAATTCAGGGTTTAACAACACTGCAGTGTATGTCTACGTGTGACTGCTGTATGAGTTGGCAGAAACGGCTTGTTATAAGAAAAATAGCAATTCCTCACAAATGCAACAAGTCCTAGATTAAAACTCCTGATTTATGGCACATACAGATCTCCCTCTAAAGAAACCTAGTTCTTCCTATCTACATGAGACAGACTTTCAAAACATTTTTGTTTGACAAAGTTTTTGGTTTTGTGTGAAAGTTTAATATTCTCAAGTCGTAATGACACAGTATAAAGAAGTCAGAGTAAAGGTTTTGTTTTTTTAAACATAAGGTCAGAGTATACAGTCAAAGAAAGCCCTGCCATCACCTCAATTCAGACAGAGTGTTGTTTAAAGTGCAATTTAGTAGCAATTTTAAGACATCCATTTCTTTTCCTGCAGCTGTTAGCCATGCTTTCAGCAGCACTGGTACCACTCCACTCTGAAATCAGGTTCTGCCCAAGCGCCAGATTTCCATGGCTGAGAGTCCTTTGCTGGTATTTTCATTGCAGTAAAAACTGTAGGAGCCAGAGGCAAGTCAGTGAGATTGAGATGGCTTGTGAGATCATCATGGGAAGAATGAATCATCTGCCTTGGAAATATAAATGTTTATGATCACTGTTTCTATTCTGCACATATATTCTTGAGACACACAACTTTTACAAGGGTGTTGATATTTATAAAATTCCATAAATTTAGACAGTGCATTACAAACACAATATGCAGTTGTAGCTATAAATAGCAGAGCAGCAGTACTGAATTTTCAACTATTTCTTGTTTTCTATACTCCACAAATGGGTTGTGTGGCACGAGTTAAGGAACTAAAGGAAAGAAAAGACAGCTATTGGGTAATAAAAATCCCATGTGAGTCTCTGTATTTTAGATGGTGGAATGGAAGGCTAAACATCTACCAAAGAACAAAAAGACCCAAACAAAAAAACCACCCAAAAAACCCAGAACAAACAAACAAAAAACCCCAAACCAAACAAAAACCCAGCCCCCAAGATTTAACTGCAACATTTAACCATGACTAAAAGACAAAGAGCAGATTCTGAAGTGCAGGTTTTGAGAACAGATTATTTTCATGGCATGTTTTTGGTATCAATGTAACAAACTAACACCTGCCTTTGACAAGAAACATTTTGGCAAACAAATGCACAATGTAATTAAAAGACTTGTTTCTAAACCTTGGCTGATGCTTTTTTTTTCTTTTTAGTGCTCACAACACTTTAGATGTATGAACAAACCCATGAAAAAACTAATCACTGGGTGGTGTAGGAGCATCATAACAATGTACCAAGGAAGATATTCTTCCAGAAGGCAAATTAATAAATTCCCAATGTATATTAAAAAGGGACAAACCAGTAACTCTTGGTAAGCTTTCTAAACTTTGATAATAGGATTAAGGACTTGCTTTAGGAGTTAGATTTGTCAGGCAATAACTTTAACAGCAGTTAAGGCCTACGGCTTAATATTGGGTACCTGATGTCAACCAGCAACCCGGCACTGATGCGAGCAGTTACAGTATATTTATTTATTAATTTTTTAAAAAAGGCTTCTTGCAAAAGCCTGCACCCTCATTTCCATTTCTTGGCTCAATTAACAAATTAATTCAGAGAGGAAGAGATGTTTGCTGCAAGCAGTTCTTTAGAGCCAGGTCAGTTATATGTTACATTTAATGTCTTTATTTAACACTGGATATATTAGAATTATATTGGATATATCTTGAAACGGCTGAAGTAAAAAAATATGTGCACTGAATTGTCATTTCAAAATTACACTGAAATACTTCTGGACACTCAAGATACGCCAGACACACCAGACCATGACTTCACATTAAAGATCCATCCTACCACAACACTACTTGGCTCTGGTGATGGACTGACACACGTTTCGGAAGAAGGTAAAACATTCAGAGCTCCGAAGCTCAGAAGCGGGGCTTTCTGCACCTACTCTAGGGAAGGTCATACTCCGTGCCACTGCTGCCTTTGTGCCATGCAGAAATGGAATTACTGAACATGGATGCTGTTTTCCAAGGAAATGGCCACCTTAGGCAGAACAGATCAGGAAAGTGGTTTTAACAGCTCTCACTGTGTACTTTAACGATTTTTTTTTTTATACTGATGTCTTTCAAAAAGCATCAGCTGGGTAGAAAATGTGAGCCTTTGCTTTACTGTCCACAACAGACATCCTCTATGGTGCTCCTTCACACTGGATTGATGGGGTTTCCCATGTGTCCTCATCTGCCAGGTGAACCATCTGTGAAGTCTGATCCATAGGTTCTTTCTCATTCTGGGCTATTAATAATGCATCTTCTTGTCCTCCTGCTATCTGAAGGTCAGAGCTACAAGAACAATTGGATTCATCGAGTTTGTCCACTGAAGACTCTGCTGTAGTTTTAGAGGACTGTTCAGTTTCTGTTTTAGCTTGTGGTTCTGCTTTGAAATGAAGTCCAAACATGTTATTTCTGATGAGGTATCGAACACACTGCAAAATCACATTCCTTTCATGTCGGATGTCCTGGGCCAGTAACTGGAAATAAAAAAAAAGAGAAAATGTTGCACATTTCCCTCTATTGCTCTGTAGCTGATACAAGCTGATATAAGATGTGTGGCTCTACTCAGTGATTTCCAACATCTCTGAATTTAAATAGTTGGCTCTGACACACAAGTCCTGGACACGTGGGGCTGGAGACTGCCATAGCACAAGACACAGCACAAGAAAGCCAGGTATTCTCTCATTCGGTGCTTTCTCACCACCCAACTGGGGCTTTGGAGAAGCCAGCAAGCACAAATGGGATTCGCCAGGATTTTTAAATATTTGTTTGGGTGTTCTTTTAGTGGAGTGTGTGTCAAAAACTGAGCAGGCTCAGCAAAGGGCACACTACAGTGGAGAAGCAATGGGTCCAGGCACCCAGAGAGATGGCAGCAGGCAGGGAACTTCCCCTCTGGGCAGAAGCAGGCTGCTAGAGCAGTGAAGGTTGGTTTGCTCTAGTGATAGAGGCTCATAATCGCCACAACTCACTATGGATGAAAGAGGATGAAAAACAGTCACATGCCCAAAGTACACATGTTTAATCACTGTTCTTTTAGCATCATTAAAGCAATAAGGTAGCTAGAACAAGCTGACATATGACATCTTTGGATTAAGCTGCCAGTCTCGGTGTGCTCAGGCAGCAGAGAACATCACTGAATATATCTAAATATGAGGGATTTCCTTCCCCATTATCTGACTGTAGGCTGAGATGACAATGCTCTCATATCATGGACTATAATTCTCATATCATGGACTAGGTCACACATTCCAGTACATCAGGTTAGCAAGTCTATAAGCATCTTTTACACTTTCTAAGTTATACTGTATCTGTAACTTAATATACCATGCATTTTTAATTTAAATCCCCTATAAGTAAAAGATAAATACAAGGAAAGGGCATGTTTCATCAGGTACCAGATGTACTATGGATTTAAAGAGCAGTAACTGGTTTGGGCTATAATACACCAACCTAAGTCTAGTAGCTTAAAGTGCTAGAGGCCTCCCTCATCTCCTTTAACCTCATTGAACTTCATTTTGGTAGCAGAGGGGAAAAAAAACCCCTATCAGCCAGGGAGCTGAATGAACTTTTGTCATTGCAAGTTCAGCAGAATTAATACTCTGAACAAACAAAAAATTTGAAGCAAGTGGCTAAATCTGTAACTTCCTGATCATTTGCAAGAGAGCTGTATTACACACTGCAGGAGATTTGGCTTAGTTTGGCTTGTAACGTCACAGAGTAGCTTTTTTTGCTGTTTTAATTTTCAACAGGGTTTAACCAGCCACTTTTAAGTCGGTATATTTCTACTTAGACTAGCTGCTGAGAGGTGTTACAAGCAGTTGACAACTAAAATGAGCCTTCCATCTCAACTAAGAGATGTCCTTTAGGGCAGAGAAGGGACAGTGTAGTGATGTTCTCTTTGTCTGACTGGGAGAAACTGCTGAATTCCCAAATGGCCGAATTAAGGCACAGATGGGATGCACCATCACCCTATCAAAGAGCGCATCTTTGTATTTTATTTTTTAATGTAGGGAAGAGTATCAGTGGAGTGATACTAAGACAAGCTTTTTATTTTGTCAGCATAGAGAATGACTAAATATGCATTACTATTTGCATGGCCACAATAAACATATTTTAGTAGTGTTCCAAATCACTGCAAATGACTGCCAACAGATATCTGCAGCTATTCTCCTACCACCCCCTCTCTTATTCAGATACCTTTTGTAGAATTTCAACATTGCTCCCTCTCAAGGTTTTTACACACTGACCATTTCTAATGACACTGGAAGCCTACCTGCAAACCTCAGGCACTCCTCAATGATTCACAGGCACAGGACACTTCCTTTAACAACAGCTGTGAGCAACATTAAAGGGCAAAAAACCCTCACTAAAACACAACTCTAAAAACGGCCTACACTGGCAAGCTTCAGTTCAGGCTTCCTATGTTCTGCCAGCTTCTCTCAGCATGTGGGACTTTATCTGACTTTCTTCCAGAGTCGTCATTGCTTTGATCACCAACAACTTTGAAGAGCAAGAGATAAAGGCAACTGCATGCTTAGGGAGCTACACAAAGGACAAACACTTCCTTTTCAGTCATTAGGAACTTTAATTCTTGGCAGCAGTGGTACTACGTGCTAAAAAGACTACCAAGGGATTTCTCCCACATCTGCAGCTTGGGATGTACCTTATCAGGTATCTCTTGCCTAAACATCCTGTGCTATTTCAGAGCCCTGATGTCCGTGACACCCTGGTTTCTCCTGAGTTTTGCCCATAGCAAGTTTTCCCTTGGTGGGGGAGCTTTGCGCTGACTATTTACAGAATCACAAAGGCAGTCTACCTATCTCATACTGTTTTTGAGTAACAAATGCAATAAAAGCTCCAAAATTTTGTTGGAGTTTTCTAAAGAAAGCAACCAAGGTTTGTGGCCAAATAGGTTGCTCTGTGCTACCCCTACAAACCTCTTTTTAGCCTTCTGAGACATCAACCTGCTGCTCTTCAAGGTGCCAGAGCTGTGCCCTTTCCTCAGACTGATCTAAACACACCTATTGAGAAGAAACCCCTGTGCACACAGGTTGCAGCTCAACACCACTCTGTAGTTTAAGTCACACTTATTAACAAGGTCTCTTTGCACGTGGAAAAACAATAATTGTGTACTCCTTGACCAGAGGAAGGCAGATGAATAGCAAAACTGAGAGCAAAGCGAAGAAGATCAGAACAAGGCTGATGGGATTACACACAAACAAAACCCACTGGATACTACCATGGGAAGGGAAGAGAGAGGAACAAAGGTTTTGTTCTTTGTGCAGCTCACGTGAGGCACATGATTGTCATCTCTTGCTCACCAGTCATTACCTGAATGCACACCACGGTATTTCTATTTGGCTGTTTAAGCATCTACAGCTTCTCCAAGTGAAGCACTCACTTCACTATTTTTAAGACAGGCCCTCTGCTAACAGACTGCTCTAACTTCCCACAGGGAAGAGAAGAGCCACTCACAAATAGTTGTACTTTTGCACAGGAAGCAAGAGTATTTTAGCATTACTTTAACATTATTAAAATTTAAATATAAATAAAAATTAAAATAATTAACATTATTTTAGCACTAAGACTATTACCATTTCCAGCAGAGTTGGACGGCGCTTCGGAAGGAGAGGTAATGTTTTCTTGCCCCAGTTATTAGATCCTCTGGGGGGACGTGAATTTGAATTTGAGCTTCTTAACTTCGTGCCTGCATGTTCCGGATGTTTTTGATTTGGGTTTCGATTTTGAGGAACACAAGTAGTTTGAGGCGTATTTCTTAGCGCAGCCTGGTTCTTCTCAGCTTTTGTTGCCGTCTTGACAGGGATTTCTTAAAGAAAAAGAACACACTTTCATCTCAAACTTAAAAGCCTCTTTACCATGCTTATATCCCCATGCACTGGCAGTTCGTTAGTACTATTCTTGCTCACATAACCTGATGTGAAGATGTTCAAGGTTTACTTGGAGGAAGGGAGGGTTTTGTTTGGTTGGGTTTTCTTTTTAAATACAAAGAATTATCTCTAAACATTCACAGAAAGGAAAACAAACTATTTAAATTCAGCAATGTAAAGAGAAAAATATAAGGAGCAAGAGCTGAATGAGATTTTTAAACCTCTGCCTTCTTATAACTGACCAAGTACATTACTTCTGCTTCACATTACAGCTTGCTGCAAATTTGGCTGCTGAGAAAATCGTAATACAGTTAGGGCAGAGGATGCCCAAGTTCAACTCATAGCCTGCTAGATGCTCTCTAACTTTGGGTAGGCCATTCTGGGTAAGTAAGGCACAGTAACTATCTGCAAAAACAAGCAGCAGCAGCAATTCTTCACCATACACTGATACAGTCAGAGAAGCACAAAATAAGAGTACTAGAGTTCCTAGTCTTACTGCAACATCCAGCAACCTTCTGTGAAAAAAGCCTTTAAGGACACAGAAATTAGTTCATAGAGTGAGCATCACAGCTTTTTCTGGGCACTATTCAAACATGATTTGAAGCGAGTCTGAAAACAGGTTGCCTTTTTTTCTCCAACTAAGATAAAAAAGGGTTTGGGAAATTCAATGACACACAACCCAACCAAAGACATTTTATGTGCCTCCCCTCTCAATCCAGGACATGCTGCTGAGAAAAGGCAAGCAAAAAACCCACATGTCCTGCTTGCACAAGTCCACATCAGTGCAGTGTGACATAGGATATAAAGGGAGAGAAGGGTGAGGATGTGCTTCTACAAACCTTCGGGCTCGCTGTCAGACGCGCTGCCATAGTTGACTGACAAGGCACTAAGGGCAGAGGTCACCTGCTTGGGAACAACTGTCAGTCCCAGCCTCCCATCTTCATCAGCTGTTTCATCCTTGTCGGATTCTGAAAGGAAAAGAAATGGTAAGAAGGATTTTTTTTCCCAACAATCCTGCATGCCAACGGCCAGCCTTGCTGCTAAACCCCCATCTCACCACCACACAAGCCTGATGTTGGGTACTACCGCTCAACGCCGTGGACTGAGAGAAAAACCCCACATTTGTCTACCCTCTAGAGACATTTGGTGACAAACCTGTGTCTCCACTGGCTTCCTGTCCTGCCAACAAAGTCACTGAAACAAAAAGTCTCCTGAGCTTTCTGTGTCTTTCTTCAAATACTAAACATAATTATAGGTTTTATTATCCAATGTAGGTAAAGAGAGAGAGGATTTCATAGTACGTTTTGAAGTCCTGCTGGATTTAGTCCTGCAGAGGCAGGGGTGTGGAGAAGGTTTTAAAAGCCAGTCAGAGGGAATTAAAAAATAATAAAAAAAAAAGATAATTCAGATCATTCACAGTGCAAAGACATTTTTGGACAGTAAAAAAGGTTCATAAGGGACAAAACCTACAAATTAGATGATCTGTTTTCAGCGGTACTTCAGATCATTTGATACTTAAATCTCTGCAGAGCGTTATGGATGCACGTGTAAGCGAAGTATTATAGTCTCGAACTACCCTAAGAGAGAACACTAGGAAGACAGGAGGCAAGCAGACCAAAAATACTGAAATTAAGGATACTAGGAAAAGAGGTCTAGAAGAAAAAGACCCCTAAAAATGAAAATGCAAAACTGTGATGGCTTTAGTTAGAAACAAAGGATCTATATGAAGTAAAATCTTGGTAAGACTCTCAGGTAAACATTGCCACAGTTTGTAGGAAAACTAAGAAATGCTTTTTTAGTAATACATCTGCATACAAATTTAGTATTTTTTTAAATGCATGTACATTACATAGACACACCCCTCCCACAACTAAAAACATTATGAAAAACTAGTTTTTTGGTACTTCTAGAAGAAGACTGTTTGCAACCTTATTTTTGCAAATGAAAAGAGTTGTGCCCTTCCCCATCCCCTGTATGTCTAAGCCTGCCCTGCAGGAAATCTGCCTCACACTTCTTAGGATGATTTTACTGAAATTAACACTTCTGAAATCATTATTTTGAAACCACAAATTTCTCTCTTCTCTTTTAATACAGCATTAGTAATTGGCAATTTGATTAACTGGAACTCATGTTTGGTAAAACAACTTTTTGGTAAATACTCAGGTAATTTATTAAACTACTTAACTGATTCTTTTTACTTTTTGAGAAAGGTCAATTCTCTCTGATTTAGTAATCATGCCAGTTTGCAATTACATTCGCAGCTCATGCCAAATTCAGTGCATTTTTCTAATGGAGAACATACAGCACCTGCATATACTTATGCAATTATAAAGTACCTTTTACTTCCAGTTATTTTGATTTATTGCTGCTTTTTTTCTATCTCATCCAAAAAGTTGAGTGCATACTGCGGTTGGGTGGTTTTTCTTTTTATTTTTGTTAAATTTTAAATACTTATTCTGATTTTGCTTTTTATAAAATTAAGAATACACATTTACTAGACTACACTTTCTCTTTGAGAGTAACATATTTGGAGGAAGCATTATGCACTGCTGAGTACAACTGACTGTTTCTGGTCAGTAGATTCCTCCAAGTTTTATACCTGACAGGTTCATCATCTTACCTTCTTTCTGCTTATAAATCAAGAGAAAAATTCTGTTTTGTCATCTTCAATTCCTTAGCTTTGAAGGTACTAGCAACTAAACAGCACTTAAGTAAATTCATTACTTAAAAAATACAAGGTTTAAATACTCAAAAAAATGTACCTTCACAGTAAAATCATGGATTCCAGTTGTATTTTTTTCTTTTTTTAAATTCTACTTAGTTATACTGCAGTTTTTATTATTTATTCTGGTTACATTTCTTAGTAGTCTAAAAAGCTACAACCAGCTTTGATAATGTGCAATAAGCAAGTACTACATTCCTTTTCTTTCTATTGTAACAGAAGTTACTAGCTGTACTTTGTATTAATTAGACCCTTTATCATTAAGTAAAACACAGATGCTGCAAGGAAATACAGATATATTTAAGCATACTTAAGTTTCCCAACACGCCGAGATTAGTGCAATAAACAAATTGCATAGGGATGCTGAGTTCTTTTTCCCACTAATTGAAGATTATGTTTTCAAGAGGAAAAACTCAGCATCAGACATCTTTCCAAGGGATATATTCTACCCTTGTTGCTAAAAATAGCTAGACTATAAGTCTGCTTACATGCCATATTCTAAGAGTACTGCACCACTGCTGACTATATTATAAATAGTTACATCTGAAGAATTTATATTGCTGCCAGCATGAGGATGCAAGACATGCTCACCAACCCCCCCCCCGCCAAAAACTAAGCAGCAATACTTTAGAGAACACACATATGGAGAATATCAAGAGTAATAATATAGCTAAGAACAGAATTATAAGAAAAATACTGACATTTTAAGTAATTCATTTAACCCATACAAGGAAATCCATTTGTTTTCACCTTCCAAATACTGTTATTTTCAAAACCACAAAGGAATATTTAACAGTCTTTACAAAATAATTTGACTGTTGAAGCTTTATTCTTCCTCTAGCTTTCTAAATATTTTCTTATTTTACATGTTAGTTTAGCAACTCTAAGTTGGTGTATGTCTTTAACACTATTATACAGTATTTACAACAGAATGTGTAATGCTGCACACAAACTTCATGTCAGACTTCCAAAACAGCGACTAGCAAGTAAAAGTTTTAGCATTTAAACTTAAAACAACTAAAATAAAAGTTCTCCAAGTTCCTTGATCTTACCAACATCACCATTTGCCAGAAGACTGAGAGGGTCCACGTCCTTCTCATATGCCTGACCTTCCGAAGCCTCTTGTTTTTCATGTTCCTTTTCATAAGTGCTGTTTTCTGGTCCATTGGCTTCATTTTGAGTCCTATGTACATGAGAATCCCCACCGTTTTTCCTAAATTTCTTCCAGAACGGGTGCCACTGTCTTCTCCTGTGTCTTCCTTGATGTCCAAGAGCCTCTCCGTTTTCAGGAGGTTTCCACATCCCCTTCATTTTGCTGGAGAACAGAAAGACAAAGCTCATACAAATGATAAGCTATGAGAATAAAATCAGTTGATGTAACCAAATGGCTCAGGCCCACACTTAAGGTGCAGCAACACACAATGATGCCAGGACTTACACCAGCTCAGCTAACATATGGTGACAGACCAGACAGGCAGTCACAGCTCATCTCGTTGGTTGGGTAATGTGACAGAGCTGGAACCCGAATGAACAGTTTAAAGTTCACGACTTGAGTTTTTAACAAGACTAAGGGTACATGGGCTAAGCAAGTTCCTTGATCATCTGCAGTGTGAGGACATGGTGTTTCCATTTAAGATAGCCAAGTCAACAAGTATTCCCCTGACTTAAGCATTTAAGTAATTCAAAATAGTAGGAACAGGAAACGAAGAAGAAAGCATCTACTATAAGCATACTTCCACTGCTGAAGTCTCTTTTTTCTGGTTACAGCTCAGAGAAGTATCTTGCTGCACCAAATCCATTCAGCCATCTGAAACCATCAGCTGCAATGATTACCTACTCTTGCCTGCAACTAACATGCCATTCATCTTTTCCATTGCAAAGAAATGGAATAAAAGAAATGTCTGCCAAGGTAATTAACATTTAAAAAACCTGAAGCAAAAGAATAAGTCCTAAAATACAGGAAAAGCACAGCATGCTGGTTCCACTTATCTTCCATGGTTCCATAATCTTCCAGGTTATCCTATAAACACAAAACATGTTTATAGGAAGATACCTGGAAAGCTTGACAAACTCTGGTCAAAGTCTACAGATACAAGATTAAGTGTGGCAAAGACAGAAAAGACAACCTAGGTTTCCTGAAAACAGTTGTTTTCAAGCAACAGAAACTTAATTCAGCAAAACAAGATTGGAACTAACATCAGTGCGTTACAACAGCAAAAAACACAAGATCTGCTTTCCTGAATGGGCCCCATGGTTCATTCTGATCACTACTACTTGCCTCAGCCTGACCTACAGCATGGCAGAGGTCCTATTATCCCTAGTCAACCATGTGCCTCATGCTGTGGGATGCCGTGTTGACAAAGGACTTCTTTTGCTTTGTCTTCATTCTGATGTCTAAAACAGTCACTTGGTACCCTCATCTTTACCGAGTTAAAAGAAACAGTGTATAACCACACTTTATTCACATCTTCCACCTATGCAATTTTTCTAGGCCTCCATCATACAGCTCTTCCAAGCCACCCGCTACTTTGCTTGTACAGAAATGTTCCCATTACCAACATTCCTCACTTCTACGCTTTTCCAGCCTAATTAAGTCTTTCTTGAGAATACAGCCTATCATAGCACTTAATATGACTTTATATCGCAACAAAACCCATTTATTTTCACTCTCCAGTCACTTCACAGCAGCTGATGGCTCAGCCCTGGTAGCGTCACCCACCACATTACAGTGCTCCTGTGGCACAAGTGGCAAGCCACCGCCTTCCTGTGCATCAGTCTCTCATCCACAAAAGAAGGCTAATATTAGCTCCTGTAATTCAACTCCATCCAGAGAGAAAACTGCATTTGTGAATTTGTACAGCCGGGCTCTAAATTCAGCATGTTGTTGTATAACCTAATAAATATTGAGCAAATATAGGTGGTGTCCTTGACCAAGGATTAAAAACAAAATTTCTACTTGTTTTAAGTTCTCTGGGGCCTCAAACACCTAGAAAGAAACCCCAAAGTCACAAACGTCAGCCTGGCTTCTGTCTTCTACCATTCCCTCATGAAAGATACACTGCTCTTCGCTTCCCATTCAGAAGGGACAGAGAGCCATGCACTATTACTCTGCTGTTGCAAGACACCAGACAGACTTCCAAAGTGGTCCTTCTGCATCTCCAATCTTTAACACACGGATGCTGAGAATTAGCAGTTGTAAAGCACTTCAGAGGACCACAAATGGAAAGAACCATAGAATTGTTAAGCATCTAATAGTTTTAAATCTTCGCTTCAATAGTATAGCTTACACAGAACAAGCTGTATTCTATTTATTGCCTTGTGCATCAGTGAATTTGCCAGATAAGCACCAATTCCAGAATCTTTACTGCTGGTATACAAAGCAGAAATGACAACTTTTGGACAGCTCATCAAGCCTATACTGCTAGCAGCTCAGGGAAAGGTGGGGGAAAAAAGAGGAGATTTCTAGAATCAACCAGAGTAAAAGGTCACTATGCGAAAGCAAACAACCTATAATTTTGAGGGCTTTTTTCTACTGAACAAATTTCCAGATATAAAGCTACTAACAAATGTAATAGCATGGAATTGCTGATGGACATTTAAGACTACATAATGCATCTGACTCACAGCCACAGAAGTTAGCAAATAAACCTGCAGACATCAAACTGTTACTGTGAAAAGGAAAACTCATCTTTGCTCATAAGAATCTCCAAACTTAATATTCCACGTTTGCAGCAAACCTGGCACCTAAAGCTAGGTTTGGTTTCTTGGGTCCAAAGCACTTCTCCAACTTTATATCCTTGGAAAGAAGTTTTACTTCAGTCTGCTCTAAGTCTTTCCTTCCAAAGTTATGAAAGGCAACCAGCTGGAAGGGGCAGGTAAGTGTTGGATCTTCTGAAGCCCATGCTGTACCAAGGTAATTTGCACTGCCAACATTGTTAACAAATTACACTAACTTCTTATTCTGCACTAGTTCAACCACTTCACCATGGTGCAAGTTTTGTTTTGTTTGGCACCATCCCCTATAAAAAAAGAAAAACCTAGGCAAGCCCCAGCTTCGCTTCCATACAGCAGCAAATGGCACTTAGCAAGAGCCCCTTGGGACTGAGTCTGCTCCCGCCTTCCAGCATGGTAATTCCAGTTTACACAAGTGATATTTTAGGAATGTGGCTCATTATAACACCTTTATAAAAAAAATCTTCCCACGGGTCCTAAAGGAGAGCTAATTAAGTTAGTTGGTTCCACCTAACATGATACTGAGGGAAGAGAAAAGAACAAAACCATACTGGAAAGTAATTTGTAAGAGAGAGAATGGATAAAAATCCAAGACAAGTAAGTACTAGCTCAGAACAATGGTAGACGACAGATAAAGATAACAGAGGGTAGAAGAAGCAGCACTACTTAATTAATAATGAAAACTTAATGAAAATAAAGTTAAATATTTCTCTCCTCTTCACTTGATTATTGATTTATCATCTGAAAGGAGAGATTAAGAAGCCAAATCTGCCCATAAAATCTCTCCTGGCCATTTTCAGGCATTAAAGGATTAGACCACGTGGATTCATTATGTTGCAAGAATTTTGTCCCCATTATTACTTCTTCAGAGACCAAGGTTACAATGATTTAATGAATAGCAACTAGAACGTGGTTTTCTCAAATAAGCTTGAGTACAGAATTAGGCGAGAATATCAGATTTTTAATACAGTTATTGTTTCATTTAACTGAAGTGGACTTTGAAGCACCACGAAGTAAACAAAAGAATATTACATCTGCAGTTTGTCACATGACTTGTCCTCTGCTAAAGGGCAGCTAGATTGTATATACAGTGGAAGCAGTGAGTGCTGGGAGACCACAGTAAGGGAGCACACTTGTGAAGGAGGAAAGCAACAAGCTTGGTTCAAAACACTTACCCAAACTGTTGGGTAGTCAGCACTTCTCCCCTTTCCTCCTTCTGCGCCTGCATCGCCTTCTTCCTTTCAATATTGGCCAGTGTAGGGAAATTTCTAGAAGAAAAAAAATTTTCACTGGCTTTTAAAGGATTCTCTGTACTTTCTCAATTCCCCCTTTACCAAACCAGCTTCCTCTATAAACATTACAGATTTTTTAAACCTTTCACGGAAGTTTAACGGAATGTTTCTCTCTTAAAAAGGTACTGGTGGGGAAAAGAAACCCAAGTGCATTTATGTTTACACATCTAGATTAAAAAGAAAAAAAAAAATCTACCAAATTATCATGCTTAGATTTACCAACGCATCAAACAAGCTACAGACAAACAGTTTAGTTACAGTTATGGACACTCTGCTTGTCTCAATACATAACAGCATCATTTGGTCCTCTAATTTTATTTTTATGGACCTTCAACTGGATTATTTGAATGACATTAAAAGGCACAACATGCTTTTAGCAAACTAACTGCCAGCTTCTTGTAATATTAAAAAAAAAAAAAGGTTATAGGAACAGCTTCTGGGTGCACAAGTTTCCTTTAATGTGACAGTTTGGGAAAAGCACACAAGTTTCCTCTCAAGCAATATTCGGCATCGTGCTTGCACACTGACCTCTAGTTCACCAAAATTACTGCCTCTTTTCAATTCCAGCTTCAAGAAAAATTGCTAAGTCATGCAGTTCAAAAGAAATCTACCGTTATAACCATCTCCCAAAACATCCCTCTCTTCCGTTCCCCACCTCCTTTAAAATCCTTCCCTACAGACAAATGCCACACTGGCTTTAACATGCAAAGACCATAGAGCAGGCTTTTTACCAACAAAGCCCAAAAATGGCTACACTAGTTGCTCTGCAAATGTTAGTTAGCTAAATCCCAGTGCTTTCAGATAAAGGTGGTGAATGAGAAACACATGCACATACTCCCCCAGCTTCTGGATGGAAACACAGAGTATAAATATTTGATGTCTATTAAAATGGAGTAAAGAGAAACTCAGAACAGCTTCCCACAGTATATAGCTATCAAAAAAGACATATATCTTTCTTTAAATATTTAATCTTATCACACGCATTTTCCCCATTTTACAGCATGAACGTTAAGTGTTTCAAGACAGCCTCAACCACATACCAAGGGAAAAAGAGAAGCATTTTCTATGAGACAAACCTAATCACACTACAGAACTTGTCTCCTTTAAGAGGATTTGAACATGAGCTGTCAACATTTACTTTCATTGGATTTCTCCCAGAAATCTGCCATGCAGCTCAAGTGAGCAGAGGGATGTGGTGCTTTATCTCTGCTCTTCCCTGTTAGTTACATTTGGTCATCCCTGTTATAACACTCACAGCACACAGTAAATAGGTAGTGAACTCTTTAATCTCAAGAGCTTCCCATTGACAAAGACCCCTGTGCTTGGCACGTCTCCAGAGTTTTGGGATAAGGTGCTTTCCTTCACACATGTAAAGGCTCACAGGAGAAGAGTTACAAAATAAGCAGTTATGCTCAAAACACTCCCAAGCTTGTCATAAAAATTGGGGTTTTTTTCAAATATAAGGGAAGACCCTAAATCCTAGAACAAAGGAGTCTTCAAAGTGCTCCAGTACTTATGCTGATTAAGGACATATTCAGACATGCTCTCGCAACGTGATTTGAGACATGAATGCCTCCCACTTTCATTCCTGTGAGTTACCACTCCCTCCACCAAGCCACCGTAATGGACGGCATGAAGGCTTTCAGCGCGATTTGTTGCCAAGATCGACAGATTTCCCCCAAACTACTCCTTCCAGTTGACACAGGCAGTAACTAACAGCTGGAGAGAGTTCAAGTCGCAAGCCCAAGTGCGCCCGCAGGAGCACATCTGAAGGCACCTGTGGTGGCTATATTTATTTTCTTCAACTCTTTTTACTCACTAGTGCAGGAAAAGTACCTATTCTGAGAGCACAATGAGTGATTTTATTCTTCCATCTAAGGACTTGGTGGGCAGTGAGCTCTAGACGTTCTAATCCACAGGTCACCAGCCTCGGTCTGTGGTAGACTGGGTTCACTCCTCTCCAGGTGCTCTGTGTGACAAGGCTGGGTTAAGCCCACCAGTGGGTCATAGCGGGACTTAGTGGGCCAAGTCAACTCCAGCTGATCTTTCAAGGATCAAGTAGACCAAAGAGGCCTAGACCAAAGCTACCCACCCACTCCAATGTGCCAGCCCCAGTGCAACTCCAGAACTCATCAGGTACTGCAGCTCCAGTACAAAGAGGTCTGTGCACCTCCTAGCATTGGCTAGATCTACTCATGGAGGAAGGGAAATTCAACTGGACCCTATGTGGAGGCAGATGCCTACAATGGAAATATTATGGTCTTGAGGTAAAAGTTTATGGCAGACTTTGTAAACTTCGCTATCTAAAGGACAGCCATAAAGTACTCCAGAGAGATTAAAAATCAAAAAAGAGAGGAATTTAATTTTTTTATATAGAGAATTCTTATTCAGGAAGGCTAAATTTAGGAAGACTGCTTCTGAATATAGGTGTGACAATGAAGAAGGAAGAACCTGTACTGACTGAATCTCTCCACATAAAAGGCCATGTGTTAAAACACAATGAGCTGACTCGGGTTTGAACCCTTCGAAGATGGTATGCCCTCCTCCTTCCCTAACAAAATGAGGTTCTTAAAATGCTACCTACAAACAGGACCGAAGCAGGAAAACCAGCCCAGTGCTTATGTCCTGCAAACAGCTTGTCAGAGCTTGAATACAAACAGCTTCATCAGTCCCCACAAAGGCTTTACAAACCTAAGCAACTTGTTGTAAAAGAGAGTTAAACCAGGATGTGATGGTCTAGCACAGCAGATTTCATGAAGCCAGAAGTCAGCCCCATTTCAGAGCAGCTGCAGTTTCAAACCATAGACACTTCCATAATCCAAACTGGAAGTTTTTCAGTATAAATTGTAAAGATAGCACCAGAAAACTGGTTTTCAGGCTGAGTATATTGGAAAAGTGAGACATGCAGGTAAAGGTTACCCTAAGCTTCCAGAGGCATGGAAAGGTGACAGTGAACATAATCACTAACATGTTTAAGTGAATAGATTTTTTATTTCAATAAGTGAGTGCAGTAGCCAGGGCCACACATTGTTTTTATAGACCAGTGTGCTCTATCTTGCTCACATAAACATTGGAGTAAACTAGCTCTTAGCAAGCAGTGAAGAAAACAGCTTTGCCAGTGTCTAACAGAAAAGAGACCTGTTTCTGTAGCAGTTTACACAATGAATTTCTGAGTCAAGAGTTACACAAGTTTAACTTAATAGGAACAGCACTGTGATCAAAATGCCTCAATAATCTGAGCTGGTCTTAATTGCATATGCACAATCAACAGCAAAGGGGACATGGATAGCCCAAAGGGCTATCCCAAAGAGACCCAACAGAGAGTTGATAAAATCTTGATTTAACTGTTCCACATCTGATTTTACCATGTTAGCTAAAACAGTTTTATTGCTAATCCATCCCTGCAGATCAGAGTAAACTTTATTGTATCTATGTTTACCTTGATCTACCCACACATTACTTCTACTTTGCTTCACCTTCTCTAATTTACCAGGTGCTAAAAAATTATTTTTCATATTACATATTTAACTACTATGAATGCAACACCAGGAAGGATTCCAAGCTACTCTGGAATTATCATTATTCAACTAGAGAACCACAAATTAATTAAAAGTGGTTGACAGTACTGGACTTCATTCATTAAGCACATGCTCAGCCTGTGAGATATCTTGTAAGGAAATACAGCAGACTATCCCTATCTGAACAAACTAACCCCAACAGATTAAAAAAAGGGTGGGAGGAGGGGGAGAATTTACAAGCAACATACAAGATCATGAAAATCTTCCAATGTTGTACTAGAACCTAAGCAACAGCACATTTAATGATTTGCTTTAACACTAGAGCAGCCTTGCCACATTCTTACTAATAACCTTTGCTCAAGAAGAGTTGGTGACAAACAGATGGGCTAGCAGACCCAGATCTCACTTGGGAAGAAGAGAAGACAGCAATATCTCATTCTGACACATTAAGGAAATGCACTGCAGATAACTCCCTTTAAGCTCATGTTAAAGAAAAAATATGCTGAAAACAGCACATTTCTCAACACTTGAAAAGGACAGGACAAATCAAAACACGAAAAGCTGATGTCAGACTTCACAGCCATCTGTCTGCAAAACACAGGGAAATCCTAAGATCCCATGGAACTTCATCTCTATTGCTGTTTGCTTGATTAGATTGCTTGGCTCAGCAGGTTCAACGGGGAAACAGCATTCCAGCCCAGCATACTTCATCCATTGATACTCCTTACTATCTCTTCTCCTTCCGCTGCGTGAGTAATGTTGCACTTTAAACACAGGCTCTTTCTAACAGATTTTAAGCAGGATACACAACTGAGCAACACAGCAGCTAATTAAGAAGAAAAATCTCAACTCTGTAAGTAATTATTTACAATGACTGAAAGAACAAGCAAGACAGGATGCAGCATGGAAAACACACATGTTAAATCACTGCAACCTAATTAGAAACAAACTACTTATGACCTAAAAAGATTCATTCTTAGCTCTGACTGGAGCTTCTAAAAAGAAGAAGATTTTTTCCTGTCACGATAAGCCAAGACTGCTTAATAGCTCAGACTCCCTCTGGCGTCCTTTTTTTGTGTACAATGCAATGTTTACTGTGAGTCAACAACAGACCTTCAGTACTAAACCGATGCTTTGCTGGCAACCCAATTAAAGCCTCACAAAAGTTCCAGATGGCTTTCTCTCTCTGCCTGCCTGCCCCCCCCCCCTTTTTTTTTTTTAATTAAAAAAAGAAGGATGCTCATACAGCTTCCTTGCTGTACAAAGAGTAACAAAAGCCACCCAGGTAGTCATTCTATACCCATCCATCACGCCTAAATAAGATGCCCACAGAAGGCTTGAAGTACCAAAATAAGGCACAGCACTACTCCATCTACTGGTCTTCGCTGAGACAGTCCTAATCCCATTTCGCCTTTTTTGGGTTGGTGGTTGTGACCACAAGACTTTACCTCCTTTGATTTTACTGCTCTGCAGCGAGCAAAGGCTTTCAGCAATGTTGTATCACAGCCATATTATATTAATCTATAAAAAAGCAACAGTATCTACCATGAGATTCTTTAGAAACTCAGCAAAACCATCTCAGGCAGAGCATCACCCTAATAATTACGTGTTGATAAAGGCTGCTGTAACTCACAGCATCCACTCCCTACACAAACAGTATCTTAATCACGATTGTACACTCCATTCCCACTTCTCTAATGTTTTAGTAAACAGTAGAGCACATACTGACATATACACCTTTAACATCACGCTTAAGCCTTAGCATCAACCACTAGACAGGAACTCTCCTGAACACCTCCCAGAACAGAAAAGTGTATCAAAAGTTGAAGATGAGTAGCAAAGACTCACTCAAAGACTGTACATGGGTATTGATCTTTTTCCTTGGAGCTATTGGCAGAAAACTAGAGGCAGGCCCCTGAAAAACATGACGGTAATACGCAGACTGAAAGCAAATAAAAACCAAGCCCTCAAGTATCTTTTGAATAAAAGGAAACCCTGGAATGAAAACTAACCTAACACTAAACTTGCCTAATCTAACATCTGTGCTTGTATTTGCACAGATCACAACCATTTTTTTTCTGGTTAACTATGGCATTTTAAACACGAGAGAAAATAATTTGTTTATGTATCAACAAAAGCATATTTAAAAAACAACATGAAATTATGGATTTTCTTCATTTGCTAAAAAAGATGCCATTTGGTAGAAATTATGCAAAAAGTGGTGAGAGAATAAAAGAAATATTCTACCATACGTTCCGCTTGTTTCTCAACAAAAGCACTGTGTAAAAAAGTATTAATGGAAATCAAGTACATATCAAGGATGTGTTAGCATTGTTTTCTGACACGAAAACAAGCTGGATTCATCAGTAAGACTGCATCAGACAACTAGGTGTATTTTCACCAAAAAAAAACCAAACAGATTACCAGTACTCTGCCCTAGCTATCACCACTGATCTTGAAATTAAATTTGTATCACAATCTACTCTGTATACAGGACTCTTGCTCAGAGAAACAAAAACCATGCACTGATCACTCGCAAGACTATATTCTAAATCATGAACAGAAGTGAGGGAAGTCTACAGCCTCTTTCACCTGATAGAAAAAGGAAGATTTTAAATTTTTCAACTCTGAGGAAAAAAAAAAATCTGTGAGATAAGGTCTATGGAAGTATAGCAGGAATTTTTAAACACTTCAGTCCTGCTCAACAGAAAAAAGTTATAGGCTTTCACATCACAGAATGAGAAATTACGAGAAATACTGCATATAGGAGAACTTTACCTTGCACCCTACACACAATGTAAACGAAACTACCGAGACAACCATCATTCATTGATGCTGTTCTCTTTCAGTAGAAATGCATCAAGCAATGCAGAAAGTCCTTAAAAAATAGGACAACTCCCTGTTGCAGTCAACTGGGACAACTTAAGCTGTGGAAATCTGCACACAGCGGGATATATTACAATCAGTCTGTACAACAGTTCCAGATTTTTTAACTGTTAGAAAAACACCACATAAACACAGATTTCTGACTTAAAATGTGATCAGTGATCAGGCTAAGAGGAATGAGATATTCACCTAACCTGGGGTACCAAATCAAACATATGGGAAAGCTACTTGTTCTCAGTTAATATTTTGCCATCTATTATAACATTACAAACTATTATAGTCTCTGCAGCTCACACTCTCCTGGCTAAGGCCAGGAGATTCTGACACAGATTACTACTGCAGGAATTTTGCAGGGTCAGTGGAACAGCAGCAGCAGCAAGTATGTGCTGTTACTGCCCTTCATCTGTCATCTAATGATCACACAGGGAAAATACAGTAAAACAAATTCATAGGCCACAAGTCTTACCTTCTTCTTTCTTCTCTCCATTTAGCAATCTCTTCTGGACTATCTAATTTTATTCTTTTAGCACCCGGTGCATGTGCCTAAGGAAAAAGTATTCAATGGGTGTTTAAAAGCGGAAGGAAAGAACCAGGAGAAAGGGGAAAAAAAAGTATCATTATGTTAGCTATAGCAGTATCACACTGTTTTCACTTCCAAAAGTGGTGAGACTGCACACAGCAATGACAAAATTAGTCCATTAAAAAAAAAAAAAAAAAAAAAAAAAAAGTAGTTTTCAACATATTTTCATCCACTTGCCTTAAAACACATCCTACTCAGAGCTGATATATTTTCTTTCCAGATGAATGAAAACAAACCATTGAAGAATGAGAAAAGGGACTATGGTAAAGATGGCATAGACTCATGTTTTGGGCCCAGAGGGATACCTACGTTTTTCCAGTGTATCTGAACTATCTTCTCATGTGCACTGAAATTGCAACCTTCTTCTGTGCACTGCAAGATAAGAGGGTGAACTTAAAACACTCCAAATCACACATAATACGAACAAGCATTTGAGCACATTTTAAACAAACTCAGTGACAGATACCTGTGCAGTTTGTTATATAGCATGTTTAAGCTACTCAGGTTCCAGACAAAGGCAATTATAAAAAAAACCAACAGTAACAAGGGATAATATGCTTTTAAATGTCATCTGATTTTAGAAGAATCAGTGTAGCCAATGTACCTCATAACTGGAGATAATGTGAAGTTTACCTAAGAGAAAAATTTGCAAGACTCTCCAATTTCAAATTTTGATACTTCTTTGCGATAAGGGAGTGGATTTTTAAAATGTTTTCCACACAAAAATTGTACCTGCTATCTGGATGTCAATGAATGAATTCCTATCACCCAGCAATACTTCAGAAGAAAAAGATTTAAAAAGACTTCAGTAATAAAACCAAAACTACAACTAAAACCTCCCTGACACACAGCATTCAGAAAAAAAACAGTCCTCCACTACTACTTTACACAGCTCTGGAATCTCTTTGCTAAGTCCCCCATTCAGAGAGTGACTACAGCTAACTACTTATCAGGCCGAAGGTTTAAAATCAAAGTGTGAATGAAAGAAGCCAAATCTTCAACCTGTTTATGCTGTGAAATATGTTCATCATACTTCTCCTGGTTTTGATAGCCACGGTCACAGGTATCACAATAATGAGAGAAAACTGGCTCTTTTTTCTTTTTGGTCTGGGGAAAAAAAAAAAGAAGGAAATAATCTCAAGATTGTAGTTACAAGATACTCCTGTTTTTTTGTGAAGCACTATCATGAATATTTTTGTTAATAAAGTCATCAGTTATACATTTCAAAAGTTTTAAAGATAAGCTAACATAACATGAAAGTTAAGCTCAAACCATTTATCTTCTAAACAAAGTGCGCTGCACTTGTCTCTTTCCACTACCACCTTTCAGTCAAGTACTTCTGCAAATGCACCAGACTGGCACAGACTTACTGAGGGCTCTGAGGCAAACTAGGCTACAGCTCTGAGTCTCTTCCCTATGAAGACAGACTATGACTGTCCCCACATGACATGTACCAGTTCAGAGGGTAGCCCAGATTCTTCCTTCTCCCACTACACACATCAGTGTCATCTGGTTGTCTGGTCTTAACAATATCGCAGAGCACTAACACAATTTAGGCACTCATGCAACACCACAGTAAGGGCATTTCTAATATAAAGCTGTGTTAGAATTTGCTTGAAATGTATCTTTCAAGAGGCTCAAGATTTACAGACTGTTATGTAAGGGCTGGCACATTAGACAAGAGTATGGGACAAGACCCACAACACTGTCATCATCACAGAATGACAGAATGGTTTGGGTTGGAACGGATCTTCAAAGATCATCTGGTTCCAACTCCCCTGACACAGGCAGGGGCAATCTTCTGCCAGATCAGGTTGCTCAAAGCCCCATCCAGCTTGGCCTCAAACACTTCCAGGCATAAGGCATCCACAACTTCTCTGCACAACCTGTGCCAGCCTCCCATCCCCTTTATGGTAAAAAATGTCTTCCTTATGTCGAATCTACAACTACTCTGTTTCAGTTTAAAACCATTACTCCTTGCTCTATCACTACAGGCCCTACTACAAAGTCTGTCCCCATCTTTCCTGTAAATCCCCTAAACTACTGAAAGGCTATTATAAGGTCTGCCTGGACCCTTCTCTTCTTCAGGCTGAACAATCCCAACTCTCCACTTGTCTTCACAACAGAAGTGCTCCAGCCCTATGATCATTTTTGTGGTGCTCCCCTGGACCTGCTCTAACAGGTCCACTTCTCTCTTGTGTCCGTACCTTTGTCTTCTTATTCTCTTCTGGACGTTTACCAAACGCATGCACTTGCTTGCCTTGCCATTTCTGGGAGAAATTACCATTTCCACCTTGAGAACAGGGAAAAAAAAAAAAAAAAAAAGAGCCATCTATACATACAGCTAATAAAACATCCCTCTCCCCTCCTACTACCTCGGTGGGCCCACTGAAGAGTCTAGGGAATACAGAAGAGAGAGGGAAGAGACGAGAGACCAGCACGCTTGGAGAGAGGGTCCTCCACCCCCCAAAGGTTCAGGACAGCCCCAGGGCTCCTGCCTGTGTGGGATGGGAAGGAGTCCATAGGCCCAAGAGACAACTTCTCCCATGTCCCTCACCTGCATGCGGGCCCTGCGGTCGCACACCAAAGGCTGGTGGGTGCCAGGCAGCGGGGGATGTGTAGTTATTAGGGGGCAGGTAGCTCTCGGGCTGTGAGTAGCCGTCGGCAGGCGGGTACCGCTCAGGCTGTGGGTAGTTCTGAGCGGGCGGGTAGCTCTCGGCGGGCTGGCAGTAGCCCTCAGGTTGCGAGTATTCTTCGGGCTTTGGGTAATTCCCGGCCTGCGAGAAGCTCTTGGCAGGCTGGGAGTAGCTGTCGGCGGGAGGGCAGCTCTCGGCAGGCTGCGAATAGCTGCTGGCAGGAGGATAGCTCTCGGCGGGCGGGTAGTTCTCGGCGGGCTCCGAGTAGTTCTTGGGCTGCGTGTAGGAGTCGGCGGGCTGCGAGTAGCTGTCGGCGGCCGTGTAGGTGCCGGGCGGGAAGCTGTCGGGAGGCGGGTATCGCCCGGGCGGCGGGAAGAGCCCGGGGGCAGCCCAGAAGCCCGGGTCCCAGGAGGGCGGCGGGCAGAAGAAGGGTGGGGGCATCCCTGGCGGAGGGAGCCCGGGCGGGGGCGGTGGGTACCAGGCGAAGGGGTTCATGCCGGGCCCGGAGCGGCCGCTCGGATGCGGCCCCTGCCCCGCGCTCCGCTCCCGCCACCACGTGGGGCCGCTCCGGCGGCCGCCGCTGAACGCGTCACGTCCGGGGGTGAGGAAGGAAAGTCCTCCTGGATAGGCGGGAGTCGCATCATCCGAATGCGCCGGAGGGGCGGGGACCAGGGAGCAGGGACGCGGAGCGGGACGGGGGCGAAGGGCCGGGCAGTGCCCCGGCGCCGGCTGTGCCATGGCCCGACAGCTCATCGGCCCCGCGCTGCCGCCCGGCTTCCCGCGCCGCGCCGAGGCCGACCCGGGCGAGGACTTCAGCCAGGGTGAGGGCATAGGGATGCGCCGAGGGTGGGATAACGGGGCTCCCAGTCCGTGTGCCGCGGCGCGGGATACGCCGGGGGCGGGATAACGAGGCTCTGCAACCCGTGTGCCACAGTGCGGGATGCGCCCGTGCGGCACCTGGATGGAGCTAATCTTCGCGGGGGAGGGGGGGTTATTACAGTGGCTTTTTTAGGGAAAAAAAAAGAAAAAAAAAAGCCTTATGTGATGGAATACCACAAATACGAAACGGCCAAAAACTTGTTAAGGTAAAGTACTCCTTGGAGTCCTTCACTTTTTCCTGCCCAGGTCTCACGTGGGCTTTGAAGCCTGCGCTCTTTGGTAGCTCCGAGTGCGTAATGGGCAGGAGAGCGAGGCGGAGGTTGGGTCTTTGTCAACCAAACCACCTCAGCAAACTATAGTTTTCCACGCAGCGTTCCTCGGGATGCGGAACGGACTGGCAGTCCATGGGGCTGTGGTGCCTCACCTGCCAGGGTCTTTGATGTTGAGAGCCGTCGTGTCAGAAGTGGGATGTCTGACACCAGCTGACTGCCAGGCTGGCTCTCCTGTGGAGCTCCAGTGGAGCTCGGTTTCTCACACTTAAATACTTGCATGTTCCCTGTCAGTAATATCTCTGGAATCAGAACTTTGAGCTAGTTAGCACTCTCTGTATCTAATCCGGGTTCAAGTCACTAGTGTACATATTCAGTTTCTTTCAGTGTGTCAGTGATCGTTCAGTTATCCCAAAGAAAGGGGCTTTGATGTGAGAGGTTTGCTGTGCTCGTCTTCTCTCCTAATTTCTTAATCCAGAAGAGGGAGCAATAGGAAGAGGGAGCAAAGATGCTGCATTAGCCGACACCATGGCAACGTGAAGCGGCGTGTCCCTAGCTTGCCTTTGTGCAGAAGCCCTGACTACACGCTTGTTTGAGCTCATGAAGCCTTTCCTTTTCATATCTGTCTTGATGGCTTATTCACTTTCCATCAGCGTACTGATACATGTTGCAAGTATCTATATTGTGTATGAATCCACAAGTTAAACATATCATTAGGCTTATCATGATTTTGTGACACCACGTGTTTTGGCAGTATCTAGTCAAGGTTACTCAGCCTAGTTTGTCCACTTTTTTGTCCTAGTGTACATCAGTTCCGTAGCATTACAGTTGCACTGGCAGATCTGCTTGGAGATTTCTGTGTGCAGTGGGTGAAGGAATTTATTTGCTTTAAAAAAAAAAAACAAACAAACCCAAACTCCAACTACTGGGAGGCTCTTTATTTGTTTTTATAACTTTTACAAACTTTTCCTGACTTAAAACAGCTTCTCACAAAAACTAAGTGTTCCTGCTCACCGCATGAGGCATACTTGCTCCAGTGCAGAGGAGGAAGGGAGACCGGGCTTTTCCAATATGTTTTCTTTCCTTGTGGTCTCACTGAGCAATGGTCTCACTGAGCTGCTCATTGCTTTTCTTTAAGAACACTTATGTTTTCATTCTACTTTCATAGTTTCTGCCTCCCAACAGCAACGAAGTAGGACTTTGGACAGCTTGTGGCAGCATAGTCAAGAGAAGGCTCTCAGCCAGGTGCAAGAAGTAGAACACAGTGGTTATGTATGTTTGGTTATGTTTGATTATGATTAGGTTTGTTACTGGTACAGTGTGTAAATGTTGCCAGTGCAGTATCTAAACAGCAACTCGATCATCTATTGCAATGGATTATTGTATAATTAGATTGTAGTCCCTCCTGTGAATCATGAACTTCTGTGAGACCCCCATGCTTTCTAAGCTTCTTAGAGAAGTCTGGGTGTGGCTGGGTCCACCACAGTCTCAGATATGTCTGGGTCCACATAGTCTCAGATATGGCCAACAGTTTATGTTTAAAGGGTTATAAGCAAGTTTAATTAGAAACATAGAACTTTACAGTCTTTGGCCATGCAGAATTCACAATTACAAAGCACCTATGTGGTTACTTCAGGATTTTATCTCCATACTTGACCAGACCTTAGTGCTTTTATTAAAACTTACCCATCCAAAAGTGAGTGTTCCCTGTCTTTGGTCTGGATGTACCCTGCAGTCATCTCTGATGAGGCTGATCCACCCGGAAGCTGCGTTTAACCTTGGGAGATCAGTTGGCCCAGTCTCTAGCAGCATTTTATACTTTATGCAGGCTGGTGTGCACCACAGTCGGTAGCAAATTTCTCAGGTCTCCCTTGAGGTCCCACCTCCCTCCCCCTCTGCCCTCCTCCCTCGGCTCTGGGTGCATCATCCAGACACTTCCTCCTGCAATACTCACTTGGTGTTCTTGCCGTAGGACAAACCACATTGCCCACCAGAGACAGACAAAAAAGGAGAGGGGGTGTGTATGTGTGGGGAAACACACTCCAAGACCCAGATATCTCTGGTGTCAGAGAATTGATGCTACTAATACTCTGTCATCCTTAATCAGAAAGATGATGGGAGCAGATGGTAGTTGGACATACCCAAAAGCTCATCCCTTGGAAATTCTTTACCTTCTTCATCTTGTCACTGTTCAACCCATGGGACACACTCATCACCTGATTCTTCACCTAGTGCTTTGAAGCTGGCCTAATTGTGCTCATGCTAATTGTGGTCATACTTCCTTTGGTCTGTTTGTCCATGCTACTGCACTGTCCTTGTACCAGCAGGAGAGAAATGCTAGAGAATGGCTAAAATAATCAGATGTAGAAGGGAGTTTTGTCTATTTAAGCATTGAGACCACATTTGTTCAGTACTGATGTGTTGACGTGATATGTCTGAGTTGATCTGCCACTACTGCTTAAAGGTGAAAGGCCCCGTCTGTTCCTGAGAACTTCCCAGTGCATACCTGATGGTGTGGTAGAGTGCTCAGAATCCTGAAATACAGCAGAAATTAACTTAACAAAACAAAACGTTTTTAATTTGGTTTCTGAATTGAATTGAATTGACTTAATTTTCAGGCAGAGAGTCAACAGAGCCAGCTCACTGGAGAAGGCAAGTCAGAGCAACATTAGTAGGATGGCCATTTCTAGCAGCCCTAAAACATTCACTTCAGTCTGACTTGGTTCTGTTTCTCTCCTCTCCATCCCCAGAATTTCCTTCTCATACTTTTTTATCCCATTGTTCTGCTCCAAATTGTTCCAAGTTCTAGTTATTTCGTCACTTTTCTTTTGCTCTACTATTGCTACATCCATTTGTATTCTTCACCTCATTTGTTTTAGTTTCCTGACACTTTGAGCTCTCCTCTGTTCCTCCTTTCATCTGTATTTTTCCACTTCTCCGTGGCTTTCAGGGTATTTCATTCACAGACTTCTGATTAGATCTTGGCCTCCCTTCTCACCCTTTCCTTTCTTTGCTCCCAGAAACTATGCTTAACAATTCCCATTCCTACCTTTCTACTCTTTCCTGTGGCTCCCCAAACCACCCTCTATCTATAGCTATGTCCTTGCCTGTGTGGATTGTTAGTCTGAGTCAGTACCATGACCATATTAAAATTTAAGATTTTCTTTCTCCTCCATTTCTTTTCACCACGTCCAATGACTTTGTCTTCCTCAGGCTTTAAATGCCAGTTTCCCTTCATTAATCAGTCTCTGTCTCTATTTTATTCCTGGTTGTCCTTCTTGGGCTGCAGTTCCACGAACAAACAGTTCTTTCAGAGGAGTGCTGGGGTTTGCAGTGTTATTTTTATGCCTCTCAAGTTCCGTGATCCAGTTTATTGCAGAGTCCATGCAAACAGTTGTGCCAATATGACAGAGAGGAATTAGGATGAAAGTCTGTATGTTAGCCCTGATTTTGGACAACATGTCAGTGGGACCAGTCTCCCTCCATAAATAGTTTTGGATTTAGAATCATAGAATCAACTGGGTTAGAAAAGACCTCTGAGGTCATCAAGCCCAACCCTCAAAACAACATTGCTGTGGTTACTAGACCATGGCACTAAGTGCCACATCCAGTCTCATCTTAAAAACCTCCAGGGACGGTGAATCCACCACCTCCCTGGACCCGCTCTGACTAAAGACAAATTTGTGAGGACAAAAGATCTGCCCAAAGGATACAGTCCATGGTGCCGGGTTCCAGGTCCACAAGGATGGCACGTGGGACATACTTGTTACCAGCAGCTTCACTATAGTAGACACTGATCCTCTCCAGCTGAGTTCTTTCCAGCTCACAAAGCTGCTCCCAATTTCTCTCTTTCGCTGTAGTGTCAGACTCATCAAACTGCACCTGAGTTTGTTCCTTTCACTCCAAGTCCGTTCTCTTACCTGTCTGCATTCAGAGCAAATGAAGTCTGCTTGCATGGTGTCAGGGCACCAGGCAGCTGGAGAAAGCTGTTGTGCAGGTTTTGTCTGGGTTTTAAGTGCTCTATATGTAGTGGTGCTTCTCATGCCAAAAGAGGAGACTTCTTCATAGCAGTTTTTATTCCTATTTAGCATTCATCTGTTGTTCCTCTGTCATATTGAGCTTATTTTACTTTTATAGACCGGAGTGTTCTGTTGTTTGAATTTTTTGGGGGAGTGACGGTGCAGTTTGTTGGTTGTTTTTTTTTCCTTCTTAGTGCCGAAATGGATTTTTATGTCCCAGTTAAAGTCCCTCCTATTAAAACAGAAAACAAAGAAGTGGTATATCTGTGTGGATGCTTTGTAACTAGTAGATTGTCCTTGTTCTGTGTCTTATGCTCAAGATGAGTAAAAGCTTTATTAAGCTCGCTTGAAGGACTCGATTTCTGCCTGGCCTTTGTCAGCTAACAATGGAACCATAATCTGTATCAGGTTTCATATTTTGCACTATTAAAAAGTCCTAGTTCTTTAACTGGAGATGCAATTTCCTGGTACCATTCATCTTCTCATCTAACCCTTGACTATTCATAAAGGGAACAATGTCTTATTCTCACCAAAACACCTCTCTGTCCTGTCAGTCTTGTACTCAGTTCTGGAAATATTAAAAGGAGGAATGGTTTCTGTGCCTCAGGATGCTAAATCATCAGTAGGCTGTTCATAATGTGCCTCTGTAAATGGATGCTGGTCCTGCATACGTTGCCCTGGGTCTGGGAAGGCTTCTTATGTTGGGGTTATTGCTGGTTTTTGCTTACTCCAGTTGGCTCATTGTTGATTGAGCCTATGAGGGTATCCCTGTTAAGTGTCTTATTTGGGGGACATTTGCTTTTAGGATCAATGGTTAAGCTCCTTCTGGATCAATGTACATGGTACTGTATCCAAATACATCTCTAAAGATCAATGCCTGATGGTGGGGACAGCGCCAGAAACAGCTCGGGCCTGTTAGTAGTGTTAGTGTCTGAATTTTTCCTTTGTTGGTATATTCCCCCTTGTCATTGATCCAGAGAGTGAAGGGTTGACAGGAGCATGAGATCTCCATCCACTGCCGTGGCCTTCTGACAGCAATGATTCTTTGAAAAATTCATTCTCTGAATGCCTAAATCATCCCTTTTTCAGCAGAGCACTTAAGTCTATGCCTGCTTAAGTCTGTTCACGCTTAGCTGAACTGGGAGTAACCTTAATGGTTAAACTATTCCTAAAGCAGGCTGGCATTTAATATAATACTTTATGGTTGCAATGCTCCCATTTAATACTCCATGGCCTCCCACTCTGTGTATGCACAAATTATGTGTTTCTTCACCAGTAAGCCTTAAGTGCTTTACTAAGGGGGTAGTTTCTTTTAAATATACTGGTTTATACCACATGTATTGTAAATCAGTTGTTATATAAAACAGGGCTTTCTAGTCCTGTTCCAGAAGACACTCATTTAGTAGTGGATTAGTATAATTCAGTGCAGGTTGTTCACTGAAATATGGTGCTGAAAAAAGTAACTTTTAGAATTTTGTTTAGATATCTCCTTTAAATGCCAGACTGAATAAACCTAATTCCAATTAGATACCTATTTTGGGAACGCCACAATAGATCATACTCATTTGAAATGTTTAATAAGTATCCTCATTAAACCTGGTCTGGTAGAAGGTTCCCTGCCCATGGCAAGGGGGCTAGAACTAGATGATTTTAAAGGTCCTTTCCAATCCAAAGCACTCTGTGATTTTGTGATCCCAAATAACTCTGAATGTTCAGTTGCAGGACCAGCACTGCCTCCAGGATACAAAAGCAGCTGTAGCTCAGAAACTCCTGACAGTGAGGACGACTCAGAATCTCTTCCTCTACCCAGAAGTGCAAACAGAGATTCTGAAGAGGAGACAGAAGGAGATCCGGCATCCAAGTGAGTGTGGTCTTATATTATTTGTATGTTTACCTTGTATTGCAAATTAAATGTGTCTGTCTAAGTTATGAGAAAGGGACAATGGTGTGTAAAGGAAAAAAAAAGGTAAACCCTGTACCTGTGTAAGACTTTTGATGATGTGTTCTGCATGTTCTTTGTGATCAAGAATGTTAAGCTGACCTGTTTGATACCCTACAGTGGAATTAAGTTATTTGGGTCAATCAGATCTCTGTGTTTACATGTTTTCTTTTAGGTCTGTAATTTTGGGTGTTTATACTAAGGACAGGCACCACTTATCATGTACGTATTTGGTACTGTTTTGCCCTGGTTTTGGTATACTATCGTTGAGAGGCCATGAAAACTATTTATGGGCACGAATTTATGCATTCAGTTAAGTCAACTCTAATGAAAAAAAAACCTGAATTGTTTAGCAAGTAGCAGGAGTCTGTACATACTCTCATTTGGTGGGTTGATTACTCACTAGTGCTGCATTTAGAATTTGTGTGTGTTTGTTCTAGGCATTGTATAAGAGACTTGAAGGTCATTATGCCATCTTAATGAGTGTTACAGTAATTATTACTCACTTTTTTCTTGTTTTCTCATTCAGTAGTTTTTCAGTTAATTAGAATTGAACTGGGAAAAATACTACTCAAAATGCAAACAGTGTATAAAAATGGAGAAAGAAGTGTGCTGAATTTTAAATTACTTTGGGACTAGAAAATGGTATTTCAACAATATACTACTCTTCTTTCTACAGCAAAAGCATTTTTAATGGGTTTTTTTTTTGGGTTTTTTTTTAAATGCCAGAGCATTTTTGGAGTGATGCTTATGCTCCCAATTTTTCAATTGCTTCAAATTATTTTGGATCCTTTTGCGTTGTTTCCTTGGTAACAGTAGGATATTTAGTACATAAGAGCATCTGAAATAATTTTATGTATTTTTTTTCCTTTTTAAAATGTAGATAATTGCTATGTATGTCAAGGTAATTATGAAGTGAAATCTGTATTTGCAGAAAGCCGAAAAGAATTCTTGAAGATGACGATGATGATGGCTTTTTTGGGCCTGCTCTTCCTCCTGGATTTAAAAAACAGGATGATTCTCCAGAGAGGTAATCAAAATGGAATTATATTCAGATTCTTTTCCTTAAAATGCAATTATTTTAGATAAAATATTTTGCGTCACTATTACAGAACACTTCAATCGTGCACTTCAGATTCAGATGATTAGAACTAATTCTTCCTCCACATTCTGAGAACAGGAACAGCATTCCCTTGAAACAGCCCTCTTAGACCTGGTTAGAGGGAAGAAGAACAAATGTTAATTGTCTCAGATGTATTTTGAATGTCAAATTTCTTCCATTTCTTTTGATAAGTCTCAGGTCAGAGCAGAAAAAAACCCAAATTAGAGGTACGAGGATCCATAGTTTTGTAGTTCATTCTGGGCTGTGGAGAATTAGGGCAGTTAGCTTTTGTGTGGTGCAACACAGTGCAGACTATTAGGACTGTCATTTGCTAATGCATCCAGGATTATTGTTTAGGTGTCTCCAGGTACAAAACTCCTCTGGACAGTGTAGGTTTCCAGAAAACAGGCTGTCATGTCTAACGTAATAAGCATTATTTACGGTCTCTATCAGGAAGCTTTCCGTTTGGTTGCACATAGTTATAAAATACTTCCCAAAAATACCTATTTATGGATTTTCTGTGCAGAACTCAACCATGTCTCACAGCCTTTTAGTGTTTACATCAACCTGTACTTCCCTCTGTAATTTGAAATGATAATCCATAGTGATTATCATTTAGTGCTTCCAAGGGGATGCTTACTGATAAAAAGTACAAGAGTCTCTTGATCACTGTTACCGTCCTCAGAGCAATAGGGAGCCGGTAGATAAAATAAAGTAATACCTGCCTGTCAGGGGTGAGTTTTCAGTTCTAGGAAGATGACTGAGTTTATTGCTGAGCTGTGTATGTAGTATACCATCTCAAAGGAGATTTCAAAGTTAAATGTTTTTTTCAGTTTTGATAAATTTTTATGATGCTTGGCAGCAGTTAGGAAAACAAGATTTATGTGACCAAGGTTATTTTGAAGTATCCTCTTCATATGTTTGGTTCAATTTGCTGTAATCAACAAACTCTTTTGTAATTGTGGGTATCATGCTCAGTGGGCTCGTTTGGTGCTTTCATTGTCCCAAGAATAATAATTTTTTCCTTTTTCTTGTGTTCTGTATGCACAGTGTGTTATTTTAATAATAAAATTTTGGAGGTCACTAAAACTAAGGGGATCTCTTATAAAGCAGATAAATGCTTTTAACTTTTAATATCAGCAGAAGTAGCCATCTTGCTTTCTTGAGTTTTGACGTGAATACTCGTGGTAAAATGGAAAAGAGGAAGAAAAGAGGCCTTGTAGTTTGAAGGTTAGGGAGTTGAGCACTAACACCCATTATATAACCTTTGTCTTTTGTATGTTGACCCAACTTCTATTTTTACTTATTTTATTTCCAAAATGCTGGATAACTTGCATTTACATTGAGGCAGTGTCTGCTCTGTGTCTATGAGTATGAGAGATTAAAGCAGTAGAAGACACTTGCTATCTTTTTTTCCTGCCTCACCATGCAACTGCTCCTAGCACACATGGAGAAAGCAGATTGAGCAGAGCTGTTTTGCACCCAGTCTGATTCCCTGAATAGGTGGGAAAGGTGTGATGTGTGGGAAGAGCCTTGTCTGTCTTCCACCCCCATACACCTGGGAGTCTGGTTGCACGGACACACTGAGGTGTGTAAGCTGTACCAGGCAGAGACACTGCTGCTGACTCCGTGTCCCTGCTGCATTGCCTGTAGCCTTGAGCAGATTGCCAGCTGACAACCGAGCCATGAATAATTGAAACAAGTGCAGGCTGTTTGTTTCAGTGTGTGGACATACTGTTTATTAGTTTTGTGTGACACACTCATTCTTCTAGAAAAGCTTTTGTTCTGTTACATCTTTTCCAGACTTGTCAAAGCAATATATTCATGACTAGGGGCAGCTCACGTGGCAATTTGCAGCTTGTTGAAAATGGTTTGAATCATTCCAGCGTAAAATATGTATGTGAAAAGATTTCCTTCAACTTTGGAAATTATATTGCTGTTTATCAATGTTAGACAGAAGTGCAGCACTCATAAATATTTCTGAAGCATTCACACATCACGGTAAAGAGCAAAGGTTAGCTTAAAAAAAATTATGTTATACATCAGAAGAATGCTGAAATGCCCATCTTGAAACATGCATTAACAAAGATTCCCAAGTCCAAAAACAAGAGAACATTCTTTGCCATAGATGAAATGAGTTATTCCTTAAATTAAACCTCAGTCCGTGATAAGTTTGGGGCCATTTTTGAACATGTATGTATAGGTACTGAAGCTAGTAACAGCAGTAAAATGTGTTTTACAGAGTTTTATTTAGGTTCCCTTCACCTGTTGAGAGACCCTCGAGGCATCCAGGAAGCTGTCAAGAGTCATGTCATCTGTGTACTGCTGACAAGGCATAAGGTTATTCATGTGGCAGGGGGGAGAAAGCATAAGAAATGGAAAGCGTGGGAAGGATGAATATGGGAACCATTTTTCTATTCCTTGGAAGAGCCTTTGAGCTGTAACAGAATCAAGACAGAGCATTTGAGATTGGTTCTTTTTCATAGGTTTCACAGATACAGCCCACAACATAGATGTTTGTGTATCTTTTAGTATACTGAAAGCTTTTTTTTATAGTTTGGTTTAACTGTCTCTTCATGCAAAATAAAGGTACTCATACACTAAAGTAAAAGATTTGGGGGGGGGGGCTGTATCTATATAGGTTTAAATTCAATCTCTTTACCTTATTTCTGAAATTTTAAAAATGGCTTTAACAACAAAGCAGTCAGAAAGGAAGGGAGGAAGATAAAATTGCAGCAGCTAGGTGGGGGTGGAACTTCATATTTAACCAAGACTTCTTGCCTGGGTTTGAAACCTCACCAGTGCCCTTGTCCTGGCCTGAGCTCTTATTTGTTGCTCGTTTGTATCTCTGTTAGCTCTTCGTCAAGACTTTCTGATTTTTATTTCTCCAATTTAAATCCTGACAATAATATCACCACAGCAGGGCTATAATGATTAGCTTATGTGGGATTGAGAAGAAGACCTTAATTAACAAATTCACGTGTTGTTACATTTGATCACCCTAACGCTCAGAACTGAAGATGACAATAAACCAAGTCTTTGCTGATACATTGTGAGGATACTGTCACCTGGATATTTCTTCAGGTGACAGTTTGGGTTTTTAACTAGCTTTTATTAGCTTTAAGGAACATTATGGTGGATTATTAAGAGGAACTCACATACAAAAGACTTTCAGTACTGCAAGCACAGTTTGTGGTATTCTTTGAATTGTTTTCACCGTTGAAAAGAGATTCTCACTTTCCTGTGTTTGTGGAGACAACTGAATTAAATTGCTTGCAGAGCTGCTGTGTAAAAACAAATTAGTGAAATTACTTGGAATCACAAAACTTCCCTTCTCTGATCTGCACTTCAAGGGAAAATAAACTTAAAATCAGAACAGTTCACTATTTCTGTTTATTGAAGGACACTAAAACTGTGGTGCAAGACAAGAACAAAATTGGGTTTGTTGCTAGAGAAGAAGGAGTGTATATGTGGCTTAACACCTTTCATTGCTCTTGAATCTGGTGAAGGAATCTAGGGAAGAAAAAAGTGGATTTTCTTGACTATATGCTGCAACTTTCCTGGGATTTTTTTGCATCCCATCTGTCTGCACAAACCCTCCCAAAAATTGGAGACACTCTTTACTCAGTTATTTCTGTGGTGTGTGCAAAGGGGGCACACTTGACATTGGGAGGAAGGAGAATCACACTTTGCATCAATATTTGATTTTTATTTCTATATTAATCTGCTACATTTTTTTTCCCCTTCAAGGCCCATTATAGGTCCTGCATTACCACCTGGCTTTAAGAAACCTTCAGAGGACACCAGGAGTAGCAAATGTTTCATAGGACCATCTGTTTCATCAGAACTCAGTCCTCAGGTTTGTAAAAACAGAACCCTTTTGTTCAGTAATGGTTAAACAATGGTTAAACAAGTTGCAGCCTGGAAAAAAACTACTAGACATACTTTATCAGGATGACAGTTTAATTTTGGACCAGGAAGCATCTAGAATATTTTCGCCTGAGTCAAATACTGAAGCATAAAAAAGCCTTAGAAACAAAAAGAGTGGTCTGGTTTGTTGTGCTTTTGCTGTTAGATAGATGGTGCACTCACTGATCACGAGCAGTCGAGGCATCCTAAACTGCAGTCACAGAAATTCTTCCTAACATTTTTCCATTATTTCTTTCGTTGTGCCATCCTTGACAAGTGAACGTCCTGGAAAAGTTCAGATTTTTAAAGGCATTAAAGAAGTAATGAAACCTATTAGAATGAAAGGATTTCCCTCTAGTTCCGGCTTCTACTCCTTTGCTGGTGGGGGAGCAAAACAATTGAAATTTTCACAGATCTTCACCTCCTTAAAGATGTTTATCAGTGGCTACCGTAAGTTTATCCAAAAGAATACAATCAGGAATGATGTTACAATGTCACTATTTGTTCTTATCAATAGCAGGATAACACCGGTAACTGGGAGTGAGGTGGTACAGGACAGTGACACTGACACAACTTTTTGGTTTGTGTTTTTTGACTGCTCTCATCAGATTAGGTAAAACCTAGGTAGAGGTTCTGTAGTCTAATACCTAGCTACAAAATAAAGCATGTGCTGCTAAAGAACATTCAGGACTCAGATGTGTGATGAAATGAAATTAGAAGTATGGGGAAAATTCAGCACCCTGGACATGGGCCTCCGGTACCATTCTGAGGGATCCAAATTGTCTATAGGAGGGGCTGGCAGACAGGGAGTAGCACTTTAGAGAAGATTGCACCCTTCTGTCATGGTTTTGCTCTGGGTCAATTTGCTTTCATACCCCCCACACAATTATTATTAGTTGAGAGAAGGTTTATGCAGACTAAAGAGACAGGATTTGGGGAAAATAATATGAATATTTATTAATAGTGAAATAAAAACTACTAACAAATTAAAAACCAAAGAACTATATCTACAACAATTTCTACTCAAGTAAAAGTGCTATATATTTACAGAAATACTCCTCTCCCCTTTATATATTAATCCAAGGAGGAGAAGTAGTCCTTTTTTTCATTCTCGGAGTTCCAGCTCTCTCTCCAGTAACTCTGCAGTACTCTTGTCGCAGCTGGAATTCTTTCATTTCTCTCTCTCGCTCTGTGTCGGCCTCCAGGGCTGGGCCTACCCCCCTCCTGGACTAAGACTAAAGGCTAGGGGGTTACCCAGATTCTGAAGGTTTTTCCTTCCATAGGCTTGCAAGGGGACACTTGCTTACTATGGATCTTCTTCCACAGGGTTACAGGGGATAATGGCTTATGAGTCCACCCCTGTTCCCTATAGAGGTCCCTCCCCATGGGAGAACAGTCCTTGATAGACCTCTCTAACATGGTTTAGCACAAATCCCACACTCGGATCCCAACATCCCACCTGGGCTGTCTCGTTCCAGCGTGGGTTTCCCTTAGGGTCACAAATCTCCAGCACTAGCAGCATGGATCTCTCACTGAGATCCCAAGCTTATCCGAGCCGTCCTCGCTCCAGCATAAGCATCAAGGGTCACAAAGTCTTCAACAGGACTCTGCTTCACCTCAGGTCTCTCATGAAGTCTCAGTTCTCTGGTACATCCACAAGCTCTTCTGTGAGCCGCATGGGGGGTCTCCTCACCCCAACAAACTTTCACAGGTGGCAGGTATTACTTTTCAGTCTTTTCCCTGCTGAAGGGAGAGAGCAAAAAAGAAGAGAAGCAGCTCTCTCCACTTCGAATTTTCTTTTCTCTACTCCGGCTGCCAGTTTTGACCTTGGAGGTCCCTTATCTCTTCGCTGGAATTTCTCTGCAGGGGTTTCTGTCTAAGCAGTTAGTCTTTTTTAACTTTTTTTCTTCACTCTCTTAAAAGAGAGAAGGGGGGCCTCAGTGCTGCACCTGTCCCCCCTGGCCCAAGCCGGGGAGGAGAGGGCCTTGGCCCTCTTTGGGCCCGCTGCCTCTTTCCTACATGGCTGCCGCTCCTAATTTCAACTGCACAACAAATCTTCTCTTCCGTTTTCTTAAATATGTAATTAGCAAAGGCATCACTGAACTTTTTGATTGGCTTTTTTTGTCCGGAAATCACCTGGACAAAACCATCCTCAGCCCCAGGGATGGGCTGGTGGGCAAAACCACTACACCTTTTTAAGCAGCACCTCTTAAGCCAGAGAGGATACCCTAAGACACCAAAAATGGTGCTGGATACCAGTGCTTGGGCAATTGAATCTCTCTCATGATAAACTGAATATTAATTCCTTGTGAGAACTAACATTTATTCTGTTTCATTTCAAAATACTTACACTTTTACATTTTACTCCCAGACACTGTGGGAGATGCTAGGAAGGAAAGATGCAAAGGCTGCTCTGAAACTTCACTTTTTTGGTTAGTAGTTGCAAAGCATATAATTCTCCAGCCTCCTACAGCGAATGTTGTCGTAATCCATCATGAAGAAAGATTATCTGACATTTCTGAGATACTCATCATCTTATAACTCCAAATAACAATTAAGCAATTTATCATAGTGACAAATCTCTTGAGGCAGGGATGTCAAAACTGGTCTGCTTATATATTTTGCAAACAAAAAAGTCTCTTTTCTTATAAATACATCTTCTAGCATCAGCTTTTTTATAGCTATTACAGAGCTCACCTTTTTTCTCTTCCTAGTAATGATCTTTTTCTTACCTCTTCCTAATAATACTCCTTTTAAATTTTTTGAATATGAGCAATTTTTGTTTATTTTGTTTTAATTTATTTAATTATTTTGTATTCTAGTACATCTTTAGAGGCAACTTATTTCATGCTGACTCTTCACTTAGTATTGGTGAATATAATGAAATGTCACTTATGTATTCTCAAGTAAAGCTTTGTGTTTCCTGACTACAAAGTCTTGTCATGCCTATTCCCATTGCCCTATCACCCACATTCAGACTGTAGCTAAATCTTTGCTCTTTCGTAGTTATTGGACACCTGAGCTTTGCTTCCAAGGCACATCCATCACCATTTTCTGTCTAATTTTGCCTCCATCCACATCTGTATTTTTTGAACTTAGAGGGAGGGACCTGTCAGCTTTCTGTACAACCCCTGGCAACTACAAAGATTCTTACTAACATCTAGTCCCTTACATAGTTCTTTGAGCCCTTCTTCAAATAATTGCTTTGAATGCAGTGCCAGAATCATAGAATCAGTAAGGGTGGAAAAGACCTCCGAGATCATCAAGTCCAACCTTTGACTAATCACCACCTTGTCAACGAGACCGTGGCACTAGGTGCCACATTCAGTCATTTCTTGAACACTTCCAGGAATGATGACTCCACCACCTCCTTGGGCAGCCCGTTCCAATGTTTGACAACCCTTTCAGTGAAGAAATTCTTCCTGTAGGGATCCCCAAGGGATCGACGAAGAGAATGACAGAACCAAGAGATAAGACTGGCAGACGCTCTGCATCCAGGGGCATAGTACCATGCAGGCCACTGTTACCCTACCTTGCATGTTAATCTCTCTATCATCCTTACAGAAGAATCTAAGCTCGAGACAGTTCTTGCAGTGTGAAATTGTGATTCTTATTATGGAGATGCTATCCAAATACTGCTAGTGATGATAAAGCCCCAAAGTGTTGAAGATGTGTGCTTGTGTGTTTCAAATCTACCTGCGGCCACAGAGGCTGTGTGGCTGCCTGCAGAGTGATGTAAAGCAGCAGGACTTTGTGTACTGCCACTGTCCTTACCACCAGTCTTGCCTCAGACAAGAGATGGTGCTTTTGGCAAAGTGGAGACTAAGCATCCACGTTCTGGGCTAGAACAGGTCTAATCTGGATTTTTAATCCAGATTTTTGTTGTCTGGCAGATGGATTGCATTAGGTTTATATGTTCTTCTGGACAAAATCATTCTAATCCTCTAAAGCTGAAGTGTTTCTTGATGCTCTCAGCACTATGGTTAAGAAAAATGTTTTATATTTGGAAGGTGACAGATAGTAGCGAGGAAGAAGACAATCTTATAGGCCCAATGCCTGCAAAAGGACCGGTGGAGTCTGATGTGACTAAAGAATTTGAACGCAGAGCTCAGAGGATGAAAGAAAAACTTACTTCAGCAGACAGCGTAAGTTGCATTTCCTAATATTTTGTTGCTGCATTGTATTTGTCGTCTTCTTTGCCTGTTTCTGTGTGAACCCAGTTGCAGTTCTGCTTGGGATGCTAAGTGCAGTTGTTAACACAAAGAAAAATCCATGATTTCTGCTGGAAGCTAAGAGATTCAGACAGTAATTCTTGATTATGCTTTTTTTTACTTTTCCCCTGCCCCTATGTCTTTCGGAAAGGATGAACCCAAGCAAGTTACCAGGGAATCATGGATGACAGAGCTTCCACCTGAGTTGAAAAGTTTTGGATTTGGCCCAAGAACATTCAAGAGACGAGCTGATGACAAATCAGGCGATAGATCTGTTTGGACAGATACTCCAGCTGACAGAGAGAGAAAAGCCAAGGTGAGCATTTATTCATTACTAATATACACTTGCAGGCAATGTATATGTTGTTGATGTTCTGTGAAAACAAAAGAAAGATACCCTGGGCTGTTAAATGAAATTTTTTTTCCCAGATTTTTCTTTGTTATCAAAATTTACTAATTCAGGCTTAAAGGTAAAGGCAATGAAAGAACAATATTAAGTATAATTGATATTAATTTACTTCTTCTCCCTTTGGAGTAGTCAGATACTCTGTATCAACTCACTGAATTTCCAGTTAGCACATCCAGTTTCTTCTTCTATCAAGCTGAGCAAAAAATATCTGGTGGCCTCTATCTTGGGCTCTACCCTTTAGATTTCATTAAAGTGGATATAGACTTCCTTGCTTTTTGCTTCAGACATTCTGATTATTATAGTGTGTGATTTGCTTCTACTCATCAGGAAAGAGAAGAGGCAAAAAAGTCAACCAGTAAGGATAAGGAAGAAATAGTGTTATCTGGGAGAGACAAGAAACTCATTGAGCAGGTGACTTCATACAATGTAAGTGTAATCATAAAATACTTCCTCTTCCTGTATTTCCTTTAGTTCTTAACTCTTTTCTTCTGGTTCTCATCATTAGTGCTGCTGGTTCCCATGGTGATGCCACCACAGTTTTCCCTTTTAGTGCCCAAACCTACTGCTGTTTTAAGTCATTAAAACATTTGCCATTGAATTCAACAAGAGCAGGATTGGGTCCTCTCCAAAGTGACAGAATTTGGGTTTGTACATATTGTCTCAGTCTTAGATGGTTCTTTCCTTAAATCACCCTTGTGTCAGGACATGGATGCTGGGAGTAGGCGACCTTAATTTAAATATTAGCTTGCTTCAACGAATTAGCAGCATCCCAAGAATAAAACCATGGTTTAACTTTCAGGGCAAATATGCATTAACCTAAAAGAGGCTTGGTGGGCCAAGCAGATCGATGGGTTAATTACACTATGTCATTAATTACATTAATTGCTCATTACAGCAACTTCATTACATGTAGTTTTCCTCAATCTCTACATGAGCAGATAATTTTCACAAACAGATGTTGATTACTAGAAATCTGAACTCCATGTCAAATTTCCTCTCACTTTTCTGTCTGCCAGCTCTATCCACTGGAGTGTATAGAGTGTTGCCTGCCCTACAGCTCTTAGTTCCAGTTCTTCCCTGATGTACAGCCTGAACTCTTATGGAAGGCAGTCTGGTCTCTTGAGAGTATAATTAACTTGAGAATCACAGCCTTGGTGTATTTTACATGAATTATGTTTATCTGGCACTTCTGATAATTTATTTGTAGTTCATTAAATCACATGTCCCTCTTGACTTAGAGACTTGCAAATCCAGAGCTATTAGCATTTTGTCTTAAATTTCTTTTTACTGTTTGTTTCTACTGTCACTATGAATACAGTAGAATAACTTTTGTGTAAAACTTGGATTTTGCTCTCTACCATTGCCAGAATAAAACATACACAGGCCTTTACTGTTAGGATAATGGAGTTCTCAAAAAAATTGGAAGGCATCTTGTTTAAGAGCAGTGTTTCTTGGGTTGTTTTGTTGGGGGTTTTTGTTTGGTTTTGGTTGTTTTGTTTCTGGTTTTGTTTTTTTTAATTAACTCTTTTCTGATTTTCAGGTGATTGGTTATGGGCTTTTTCTCTTAAAGTGTTTTCCTCTATTCTTCCCTATTTCTGACATTTACCAAGGATACTTTCCTAGAACAGGAGCTTTCATTCTCAGAATAGTTTCTTACAGTTTATTCTCTCTATGCTGATGTTATATACATTCTCTGGTGCAATTCTGTCAACACTGACACAGTTATACCATGAATAAGTATTGTCCATTTTCCTTTTTCCATGAGAATCATATCTTATGTCATGTACTAATCATTGTTTGTGATGAAGTTAGTGTTTGCACAGGGAGTGAAGGGAAATGAACCTTTGGAATAAATATCATGAGAAAAGAGGGCTGCTCATCTTTTTGCACTTTTTGATGAGAGAATTGATTTGGATACACAAATGCACTGTATCTGAGTACAGGATGGACCACATGGTCATATGAGAACTAATCCTGTTCCTATGTGAAATCAGCAGAAGTTTTGTGTTGTATTTGGGCTGGATCATGGTCTTTAAGAAATGCAACTTAAGCCCTTGGCTTGGCAAAAGACATGCTGTAGCTCTAACCTGTGACTTTGTCCTGTGGGCTTTCAACAGACAGTTCAAAGTTAGGAGCATACATTAAAAAAACCACTGTAGTGCATGAAAGTAAGATCAAAAGGGTATCCACCTTACTCCTGCCCCAAGCAGTGGCCAAAACCAAGTGCTTAGGGGATGTGTATAAGAAACTAGGCCTGTACATTGAGATATTTCTCTTGATGTCTTCATTTGTCTCTGCTAATAATGGCAGAGCAACTTTTCTGTTTCTTTTGCATTATTTTTATAGCTTATCTCCATTGTCTGTGGAGATTCAACAACATTCTGGGTATCTAACATCAGTGAATTGTTAGTATTTTATTCAGCCTAGACAAGATTGCTCATATTTTCTGCTCAGTATGTGCTAAATTTTTGATTCTATATCCACTTACTAAGCTCTCTTCTTTTTCTGGAATTCTTAGTCTTCCTAACTTCAGTCTTTACATTCAGGTTTTCTATGTGTTGTTCATATTCTGCAATACTTCATTTCCTCTTCTTTCTTCTCATTTTTTCCAGGAGTCAAAGAGGTCAGAATCTCTCATGGACATCCATCAGAAAAAGCTGAAAAGCAAAGCTTCTGAAGAAAAGACCAAACCTCAAGAAAGAAGGCCATTTGACCGAGACCAGGATCTCAAAGTCAATCGATTTGATGAAGCACAGAAGAAAGCCCTTATAAGAAAATCTAGAGATCTGAATAGTAAATTTGAGCACAGTAAAGGCAATATGTTTTTATAAGATAAAAGCTTTTTGAAGTGAAGTCAGTTAAACTTTGAATACTTAATTTTTGTAAGTACTTTTCTGTAAATATTTGTATGCAAAATAAATATCCTGCTGTTTAACTATTTTTCCTTGTCTGTAAATATCCTGTTAGGGAGGATCATCTGTATTAAAACTAACCTAGTGAAGGAAAGTCCTGGTATAGAAAAAGATAATGTAAATTTGCTACTTTGAAACTTTGATAAGTATATTTTTTTGTTGCTGGTATATACATAATTAATTAAAATAGGTGTTATTTTAAGGAGTTCTAGATTTGATCTTGAAATGCAATTGGCAGTTTAGCTTTTTCACCTTTCATGCTTAAGATACTCTTGTTGAGCCTGACCTGAAGGCTGTGGAAAAATCCCCTTTAGGCTTGTGGGCAGAACATTGCTTGACTGGAGTTCCTGCTGGGGAGTATAAACTAAAATGGCAGCTTTTACATCTACCCAGCGTTTTTATTTATGTGAATGTGTGTCTGTACATACATACAGGTTTATATATACAGTATCGTTTCTGTACTATATCAGGAAGAGTTAGTGGTAGCAGAAGTAGTAAAACCTCAAGGTTTTCAGATTTAGTTGTAAAATAGTATATGAGAAGAGAAAATCTAATTTGAGTTCCAATTTGTAAGGCTTGTCAGCAGAAATCCATCTTTTTTTTAAGCAAATGCAACAGGAAAATCAAAATTAGGCTTATTTTGTCAGTTAATTTGCAGAGCAGAACAGCTCTTCTGTATCAAAAAGGAAATAAATCTGACATTTAAAAAGGCCTACATTCATGCTTAGAGTTCTTTACCTCTTCTGTGTGTGAGCAGCAGAAGGGTTTGTTAAACATTGGAACAGGGCTGCCCAGGGAAGTGGTGGAGTCACCACCCCGGAGGCGTTCAAGAAATGACTGGATGTGGCACTTAGTGCCATGGTCTAGTTGACATCATCAGTCAAGGTTGGGTTTGATGATCTCAGAGGTCTTTTCCAAACCAGTTGATTCTGGGATTCTGTGTTACTCAAAATTAGACTTGTACTTTTACCCTTTTTGATTCTAACAATGCTTGGGGTCCTTTTTGAGGAGTTACTGAAAGGATCTATGTATGGAAATAATTTTATATATGAGATGCTGGTATCTTGTTTGGAACTATTAAATACTGTGGAGTTTGCTGTAATTTAAAAAAAGGCTGCCCTGATAGATGGTGCCTGGGTTGGTTCACATTGGTGGAGCAGTGGCCTAACAATTCCCCAGAAACGAATGGCTAAAAGCTTGGTCTTATTTTATTGCATATGGGCGTGAGCCCAAGACACAGGCTCCATGTGCTGAGAAGTCTTGGAGAGTTTCCAGTGTTGCAAATGAATGCTTACATAAAATGTATTTAGATACTGCTTTTTCTTTTTTAATAGACAATTTATTTTGCCCCCCCCCCAAAAAAAAAATCTACCTTCAGGAGAAAGAGGGACTGATTTTTTATTGTACTTGCTTTTTCTTTAATCAGTTTTTAGTTTCTGAGCCTTTTGTTTTGAGGTGAGAGGAGTGTTTAAACAAGATCTATTTATTTTTCCTCCCCTAATACAGACTTCTCTTAGTGTCTCCTACTTTTTTAACTCAGTCAGCAAGGCCTCATTGGATTTCTACTTTCTGAGCAGCTGTAGATTTCTTAATTGGAAAAGCAGTATTAGAAATGTTTGGGGTTTTTTCAGGCAACTGAAGCGATGACAGGGTAAGCATGGTGTGACTAACTGAATCTTAACGGTTGACAAAAGATTTTTTCACGAGCACATCGTGCAGTCCTCACTTATTCAAACAAGTCTGGAGCAGGGAAGAGGGCTGCTTGTGCTAAGATTTTGTTGTTGTTTTGTGCTTTGTTTCCATTTTTGTTCCTTTGTCCCTCCTCCTCCAAACTGAAGACCAGTCATCAGATGCCACAGTGACCAGACCATGCTATCCAGCTGTCCTCCTGCTATTTGCTCTTTGCCCTCCCCAGCTCCACTATGGCCTCCTGCCCTCTCCAGGGATGTGTTTGAGTGGAGGCTCTGCAGTGTTGCTCCAGAGGAGAGCTCTTGTAACAGGAGTGCAGGCAGCCCCTTTGTGGTCCTACATTATACCTCTGTATGTGGGACGTGTGGTTCTAATTAGTGAAGCCTTGATGAGATGAGATGAGAACTGGAAACTTGTTTTCAGTCATCTGCTGCACATTTTCTTCTCCACTCTGAGGCAGCCTTTCAAAGATTTGATGAAATCCGTGTTACAAACTTGAGATGGGGGAAAATGGAATTGTTGAGAGCTCAGGTTAAGCTTTTCATTACTTTGTGTAAATTGAGTGAACCTTTGAATTGCCTTAATACACAAACTCATCTCACCCATGTGAAGCCATTCCCTCAAATAGCCATTAGAACAAGCAGTAACTCAGTAAATCACAAACTTTGTAAGCTTTTGTGGGAGAAGGTGAGGCGTCCTCTACAGTTTGGACAAGTTGTAAAGCATTTCTGCAGAAACGTTAGGGGAGGATTTTTCGGAACCTCATTTGAAAAACCGAAATCTCTTTCACAGAAAATCCTGTCCATAATTGCTATGTAACATTTCTGGTAACAAGCTCCCGACACAGATTTAATATATACTATTGCTATTCTGCAGTGCCAGCCTGTGTCACAGCATATTGACTCCAGGCATATCAGGAAACCCTGTTTTGTAAAAAAAAAAATGTCAGGAAGGTTTTCCTGGATGTGAAAAGTCTACCATCCTAGATTTTAAAGCGCTTGCCTTTGGTTTGTGCTAGCATAGACATCTTTTTAATACTGACATTGAAAATTTCTGCTCAAAAGTAGGGTCCCCCTCCTTCTGAAATGTTAAATAGGTGTGTAATTCATAGTGTGGTCAATAAAAAGAAGGCTTTTGTGGTAGGCATATGATACATTGGAAGTTCAAAAGGAATTTAAGGAACATTATCTGTTAATAACAAAAAAGGTAGAAAAGAAAGAAAACCAACCCTTGCTGAGTCTGCTGTTACTGAGGAACAATTAGAAGCAATAAAGGCATTTCAAGAAAATTTACTGATTTCTTTACATCTACCATGATGTTTGAGCTGGGAAATGATATACTAATACCTGAGTAAAATCCCTATATCTGCTCTTTTGATGTAAACACCTATTTGTGGAGAGTTATTTTTTGCTTCTGCTGTTGGTGTTGGTGGATGTCCTGTGCATGCTGGCTTTTCTGCATGAACTTCATTCCCCAAATAATAAACAGCAATAGCAATGCATTTTAATGATGGCTTTGATGGCATCAAGTTCTTGGCAGCAAAGTGGCATTGGTGACATTGCTTTCCTCTAGAAAGAAAGATTGAGATGAAACATTGATATGTTTCTGTCCACTAGGAAAGGGGGTTTTATGGATAAAAGAAGTTTCTAAATGCTCCAGAGGACTCCAAGAGTTCAGGGCTAATTGAGCTTGGGGACTTGTTTTGTTTCTGAAATGAAAACTTACTGTTATTTTTGTCCAGCCAATTATGAATCAGGTTTGTTTAAGAGTTATATGGCATTAAAAGTCAGAATCTGAGAAAACTTTCTGTACGTGCATCCTCAACTTCTACCACCCTACCTGCATACAGTGAATATAGTTTCTAATTGTGTGATTACCTAATTCTCAAATAAAACACATGCATGGGATTTTCTGTCCTTATGAATTGTGTGCAGTGGCTTATATGCTAGGGAAAAAAACCCCTAACAAGTTATGCAGTATGTTTCAGCCAACATATTTGGATTTTTTCTCATGTGCTTACAAATGAAATGGTGTCTCTTTACATAAGGAATGCAGCGGCAGCTCCCAGTCATTGTGCATCTGTGAAATGCATCTTCCTGATGCTCCCAGCTCTGGCAGATGAATGGGAAGTGGTGACCCTCAACAATAACTCACCTAAGTGTGGCATTTCTGTTCTTTCCAAATGTAACATGGAGACTGAAACATTACCCTGCAGAGCTGAATTTTTTTCATAGCAGCCACTTCTCAGTCCTCCCAAAGTGACCATCACTGCAACAGGCAAAAGCCCTTTCTTCATCATCCCATCTTCATTTCTTGTGGTTCTGGTCATCTGTTTCCTTAGGCTGGTCTTCAAACCAGTAATAAATCCCCTTGCTGTTTGAAATTGTACCATTTTGAATCAGCATGGCAAATCAAGCCTTGTTTTTAAAAAACAAAGTCTTCCTTTTAGAGTGGGAACTTAAGGTCTCTAGGAGACAGCAGCACAGACTGTCATTTCAGCATGAGCAGCCGCAGCTGTGACTTCTTCCAAATAAGTATTCCAAACATAAATATTCAGAAAGAATTCTCGTTTTAAGCAGACTTTAGAGGAAGGCGGGGAAAAGAAGTGGCTGGGCCAGGCTCTTGGCTACTTAACATTGCAACCACTTGCTTTACTTTGTAGGGCTGTAGCCACTTGTCCTTGCAGATGTACACCTGGCCAGGGGTCTGTCTGTCTCTCTTGAAGAGCCTCACTCCCTACCTTTGCTGGTACCCGAGCTGCTGCAAAACACTTCATGTACATCAGCAAATACTTTTTGCTACATCTTAAGTTGTATGAGCCCTGGAAGACTCCTCGCAGCTCTCACCATCGCTGGTGCTGGATCAAGCCTGGCTCCAAGAACAAGCCAATTGCAGAGTTTTGTGGCTACTCCATTATGTTTCCTCAGATCTGCCCTTAGATCCTGTGGGTTTGTACAGGCTTGCCACCCATCAGCTTAGGTCAGGAAGGAATTTGCCGGAGCCCAGACATGATGGGGAGAGGACAAGCATTGAGTTATTACGTCAGCCACAGCTCATGGAAGAGAAGACCCTTTGCCCACTGGAGCTTGACAGAGGGGTTTACGGTAGAGCAGCAGAACTGTGGCACAAACCTGACCCCATCAGCTGTCCTGGTTGAGTCCTGCAAGCCAGACTTTGGTTCAAACAGTGGAAATTCTGGAGCAGTAGAGCCCCATGGGTACATGCCTGCCTTCCTTACCTTAAACAGCAGCCCTATTGCTCAGCAGGACCCATCTCTTCGTTAGCCATGCCCCTTCCTAAATAAACATCTTGAAGACACCTCTATTTAGTGTCTGGC